GGGGGGGGGGGGGGATTCAGCCTGACCAGTCTCATCACGCGACTGGATTGAAATTGATTGAAATTGCCTTTGCCCGACCTATGTACTTGTGTATATTCGTACGGATTTTAGGCTTTGTTATACTAGACCAAGTAATTTTCTCCCCTTCGGGAGAAGGTGCTGGGATCTCGTCTTTTGCCATGATATGTCGAAGGCTGCAGATGTGTCAGTGTAAGTACTCTGACCAACGGGCTAGTGGTACTTACTAAGTTGGTCGCTTCGAGCTTGGTGTGCTGAAGTGCTTGGATTGGCGTGTGAGCGCTGACTCCAATACTAATAGGCAACTTTGACTAATTCTTACCCTTGTCGGCGAAGGATAGAAGATAATTGTGAAGCCAGGTGAAAGAGACCGCTTAAATAGTCATTCGATGAGCCGCTGTCCTGACGGTAAGTGAGTCATCGGCATGAAGGTTTATAGAATTTTCTTCCGTATGATTGTAGCCTTGGGCTAGTGAGGCCTCTTTTTTTTTACCTTTCGTATTCATTGTATTGAGTTATCGGGTTCTGGCATCTTCCATTGCTGTTTAACTTTTTACTCATACTCTCTCCCGTTATTGCTCTCCCAAGATGTGCGCAACTAAACAGGAGCAAGCTCTCTCAACCACCGAACATATTCGCAACTTTCAAGAACAGTCATTAGTTGATCACATTGGCTACCCCGAGAATACTGAGCCCAACCCTCGATACCGGGCAAACAACGGTACCAAAATTACAGGAGATACCGATGGAGGCTTAGCAGAGGCTTGCATATACGTTTATGCGCAACAATACTAGTTTCGACTTCCAATTAGTCAGACTGCAAGCAGCGTGCCATGTGCCATCCTTGGTTACGCCTTTGCTGTTCACATGATTACTCCTTGCGGGTCAATACCATCGCAGGTTTTCTCGAGGTGTCCCATTAAGATATCGCATTATTGAGAACAGAACAGAGGAATAACCCTAACCCTAGCACTAACGAAACCTGCCAACAGACTCCCCGGCTGGGTGCCTACATCACGCCCTTCACCTTCACCGTTGCAGAGACAGAAAATCGGCGGTTATTAGGCATAAAAGAAGGACGCCGTGGCAGCTAAGAAAGGGGAACAAAAAAAGAACAATGAAAAGAAAAGAAGCAAACCGAAAAGGGTGGTTGAAGCTGACATGTTCATGATGACCACGCAAGCGAGAGTCGAAACAGCATGCATTTCATCAGATATGGGTTGTAACAAATGTATTAGACCCAACATGTTCCAGTATTGCCTTAGGTGGGATGGCCTCCGAGTTGCTCTTCCGATACCTTGGTGAAATGATTCAAGTGATTACTGTCAGATCGACGTACCATGCTCCATCTTGAGGCTACACGTCGGACCGTGACCGCGATCGCTTAGATTCGGGGACACCCTGTGATAGTAGTGTCTCAATCCACCCTCCTAGGAACCAGGTCTCCATTCTTGTGAGCGACTTAAGCGCTCGTCATGGTGGTGCTCCTCTGTCTCCCCGCAACGACGATGGCCGTGAAAGGTTACCACTATGACACTGCTTCAACCTAGAGAGAAAGAAATATGTGCACAATGGGAAGACTGTTCATTTCTTACATATGGTAGGGCTTGGGGAGTTTGTGTAGGCCTATGAAGCATGTAGCAGGAGAGCATTGTGCCGTGTTTTGACCAGATTGTGACTTATTCGGAGATGTGGTGCAAACATCGTTGGGGTAAATTGAGTCCGAGGTCCTGTTCGCCCTATCTCTACAGCCCCTTCTTCCCAAGAGTTGCCAAGATGTCAACTACCAAGCCGAGATGGATGGACAGCTCGCTGGTACGGCGGAGATGTCGCCATGGCCGCTGCTGACATAGGGAGCACTGCATTCACGAGATCGACCTGCAGCGCATTCGGCCCGGTTATTCCCCCAAGGGGAGCCTGATGACGCTGGAGTACTGATAGAATGCTCCGGTGCAGCTGCTCCTGTCTGGATGCATGCGCGCGCATAACGCCGAGTGGCTCGTCGAAGGATAAGCTTACGAAGGGAGAAGATGGGCGGCGCGAGAAGGCAGCGGGGAAGATGTGGTCGAACATCAAGTACCATTTGTCTGCCTCGCTTAGCCCCTGCGCGGTAGCCAACACATCGCCGAGGGCATCAAAATCCTCCCGAAAAAGGGGCTCCGGCCCCTGGATCTGAGGACAGGCAAAGACCGGGTGGCTGCAATGCTGGCGCCATTCTTGCGTATCGTCGAATTCTTGGAAGCAATTGGGACAGTAGAGGTCGCTCATGAGATGGACTCGCATGACGTGAGCTTTGACGTCAGCCAGCCGTTTGAGGTTGTATTTCCGATAGCAGCGCCAGTGCCGTATGGGATCGAACTTGTAGAATGGGCAAGCCCAGTACCCGGAAGTTTCGTTGGGGTCGGTTTGGGTTCGTCGTGATGGCCCTTCTTCTCCCCCATGTCCTCGCCACTCTTCTTGCTGACCCCCTCCATCACCTCCATGGTTCGCCTGGATGCCTTCCTTATGCGTGTAGCGTCTGGGACTACCACTGGAGGTGGAGAATGAGGCATTATCGTTGGGCACGACGTGACGACCGGCTGCCACTATTAAGCTGGGCCAGCTTGTCCTTGGGAAGCAGAGCTTGAAGAGGAGGCGGGTGGTGGACAGTTTGAGGTCAACTGCCAGGCGATGGATTCCTGAGATTCGAGTTGTAGAGCAACGGTTAGGGATGGGAAGATTTAAATCAACTGCTAATGAAAATTGTCTCAGTATCTCGGACCAGTGGGATTCCTTAAGGCGCTGTGGGAGACAAATACGACGCTGGGAGTAGAGATGGTGGGAGGACTCACCTCCACTGTAGCGGCCAGCTGCAGAGGATATGCAGGTGGACGGAGAGGGAAGATAGCCAACAAAATCCTGCGTCATGTTGTCTTCTTTGCCGCTGACGTTGGCTGGCGTTGACCAAGGCGCCCACAGCCCAAGGGTAGAGGAACCCAATGCATGTCCGCGTCGAGATGGCATCCTCGTGCTGCCGTGCTCACCCACATTAACTGCCACCACAACAGTACACATTTTCCCTAGCGCAAATGTTGCAATAGATCGTAGTTAAGGCAGATGATAGAGAGATGGATAGGGATGGTAGATAGATGGATAGCACGGTAATAAAGCCATCTCGTCGAGCGGGAGCTCCTTGGACTTATATACAACCTCGCCAGAGGCCACCGGTGTCAACACGAGGACAAGAAAGGAAGTTCGAAAAGGGTACTTGCCGTTGTTTGGCCTAACGCGGATCCGAAAATACACAATTGAGATGCATCCGCGGCCGCCCGAGGCTCGCTCCTCAGGGGAGGGTAGGCACGAATTGACCTGTGAAACGTCGAGGTAAAGTCACTATTCCGCCCCCAGGGATGCCCGCGAGATATTCCGGTTGACTCCCATGGTAAGTATGTGTATGCGTCGGTGGATTCTGCTCATTCAGGAATTATCAAGGCCAGGAAGCCGAAATGGTAGCTGGAGACAGCCGCGTACCTGCAAGGCGACTGACTATTAGTCCCATGACTGGTTGACAGCTCAGCCTCTGGTACACCCAGCTTCCTAGCGGATCCCACATAAAGGCCGTAGGCGGCTTGGGTACTAGGCTCGGATGATCCCTCCTTCCGAGTGTGAACCGCATGAATTTGGCAGGACCATTGACGAATGAGAACGACCTCCTACACCGTTATCTCCCACAGCCTATTTTGTTGAGGGTGGAGGGTGGTAACCCTATTCCCCGCGGACTACACCCCTCGCCTGCTTATGTTTATTGAGCCACTGTAGTCGAAGAGTGAGGCTGAGGCTTTATTGCATCTATTTTTTGTTTGTTATGATACCAAGATGTAAGGCTAGGTTGTTCTAGCCTTTGTATCACTAGCCAGCACGTACAACTCTTTGTTTCAAACTTTGGGCCGAATGCCTTCGTTTTGTGGCACAATCAGCTATAGACTCATCTTAGAGGCCATTTGATTTGGAGTGCATGTCTGTTCAATCTTGATGCTCTCATGGCAAAATCGCCGAACACCTCGGCTATTTGACAGTAGGCTTGGCGTCATCCTGCGGCCAAGGACACACCGAAGTTGTGGAAACGCAAACACGAAGCTAAAACCCAAGTTCTTTGTTTCTTCATCAACTTTTTGAAGACTTCTGGAAAAATATCACGTCCTCAAAGAAGGATTCGGGTGGGTACTGGAAAGTCCCTTGCATCGAGCCCCTCGCAAGCGGGGGGTTGACATCGCGCGAGGCGATGCGCCGCTCAAGAAAGCCCAACGATCTGCCAACTCTATCGTAGTCATCAGCGTTTATACGAGACATACTGTCATAAGGGCATACTTGCACATTAGGCAAGGCTTCGCAAAAGTCTTCCACTAGTCCAGTTGAAGCAGGCCGTGTCCTATAACAGCGCCTCGCAGGCAACCTTGAGAGGCGGTGTGCTTCTTTCCAGATAGACCGCTGAGCATCGACTAGGTGACACACGTCCAGCGCACCCTGACGCGTCAGGATGCTCCTCGGAATGTTCGCTCTCGACCAGCCTAGAAGGACTTTGTGCTAGTGTCGGCTGCCGTCCTTTCAACAAAGTGCCGATAATCGAGGGGCGTTGACGTATGCAATGGACAGGGGTTCCTGGGAGATCGGGCGAAGTTGAAGGGCCTGCAGGATATAGGGGTTTCTGCACTGAACGCACCAATCGGGGGCGCTGACTGTAAACCAAGTCAGAGTTTGTCTCCGCAAGAGACCTTGAAAGATCGAATAGTTTGCCTTGTGCAAGTAAGCCCGCGCGTGGCCCTTTGTTTAGCGCGAAACAAAGGTCACGATGAAGCACGAGATGCACCCTCGCTTTTCGGCTCATGCATGCGGTGTACAAGGGTTAGCGTTATATTGTAGGCCAAGAGAGAGGAGTTGCTGTAAACACGACACACCTCCGCGCATATTGCAGAAACTCTTCTCAATAGAGTCCTATGGACCGACTACGACGGACCGAATTGACTGCCCGCCGGCGGGACCTCTGGCATAAAATTTGTGCGAGTGGCAGGGACTTTGGTAAATGCTCTGTTCCCGGAGTGCAATTAGAACCGTTGCTTTGAAGGCGCACACATCTCACACCTGCAGGTCGTGTTGGGCATGCTTACCTCTAAGGCCCACATCTTAGCGAGTACCGAGGCTAAAGTTTTTTATTATAGTCGATTTAGTGGTGGAAGGATGAGAAAGAAGGGCCTAATCGTTCTGAAAAGATGTCAGCAGAGCCAAGATCTTTGAATCGGTGGAGTTGTTGCTCACCTAAACCTAGCCTTGTCGTCCCTAAATAGCATCACGGGGGCATTCCCCGGCTCTTAGCTTCTCCGCAACCCGTAACGCCCGTCGTTTTAAGCTTTTGCCGCTCACAAGGATCAGCCGCCGCTAGCAAGGAATAAGGACTGCCACTCTGGAATGATGCGGCTTCAGGAGCCGGCAGTGTGAGCCATAACATGCTTCTTCAGAGATGCCTAGACTCATCGTTGGTTTGCTGACCCCTGCTGGGTTGTGTAGGCATCATGTGCAAAATAATGGTGATGTACCAACAACTCAGCTCGGGCATTCCGAACAGACATACAATGGTGAGGCAGGAAGTTGGTGGCACACCTCTGAACTCGCAGGGCTCTGGGTTGGGTTTCTCACTGCAGCGTGTTAACGTTGAGATAGTCAATGCGGCGAGATATGCACCCAGTAAGGGAATCGGTGTTGAGTCGAGTAGAGGATTTGCGCGTGTCGGTGGTTCGGATCAAGATTGCTTGTTCCAAGTAGGTTGTTTGTAGGTCGGTGTTACATTACTAAGGTGCCTTGGACACGTGAGAGAACAAAGACTGCCTAACGCAGTGTTGACAATAGGCACATTTGTCTCCTTACATACAAGGCAGCCACGCATAGTTACGCACCTGCCTACCTCCTGCCTTTAGCTACCTTATCTCTTATCTTGACAGCTGTAGCTCTGGCCTAGCTATTCCAAACAGGGATAGCCAGCTTCCCGTACGGTATGGCGATTGGATACCATTTGGGAGAGTAGCAGGCCGGCTGACTTTGCGATCACCAACATGCAGCCCCAAGTGGGGAGCCAAAAAAGATCACGCCAGCAAGGACCAACAGCATTTTTGAAGTGAGAGCCAGAGCCAACTTGCAAAAAATTCATTAAGCACGCTGGGCTACAACTTCGGGATTTCTCAGTCCCCCATCAAATTTCTCTCCCCCCGGGTTTTCCTGCTAGAGTACCACGCTATATTTTCCCCCGACATCCGAATCTTCATCAGTCTTGTTCCAGGAAAGATTGACCTGGCGTTCAATTCACGATCAAAATGCTTTGCACAGTCTGTTGTGATACTCTTCAGTGGATTCTAAGCCCTCACTCAATCCCTCATGTGAAGCAAGTATGCACCATTGAACAATTCAAACACGATAGCGGCTTTGGAAACATCTACCTTCCAACTCAAGAGCAGACTCCTCTAGTGCCTGTCGATCGACCTCTTTATATGTTCAGTCATCACCCTACTCTGGAGTCCTTTGAGCAGTCTGTCCGCAATGGCTGTTCTGTCTGTGTTGGCATGAACTCCCTCGAAAACCTGCCAGACGATAACCCAATGATCGCTGCATCAGGTCTCTACTCCTTATTCAAGCACCAGACAATACGACTTTCCCCCTACAGGGTGTCATCCAGAATTTCGTTGTATAGCTGCAACCATAGCACGTCATATCGTACGACACTTAATGGATGGATTGGTGAGTGATGTGTCGTTATCTTCTGGTTATCTATATTGACAGCTGTGCTAATGTGTATCTAGGGCCACTCGATAATTTCAATGTTAATCTTAGTCCATCGACTGGCGATGAGACCACGTTCCGGCTCATTGAGGCTTGGCTGAACACATGCCTTGGAAGCCACAAGGAATGTGCCAAGGCAGACGCATTTGTTCCACCACGCCTTCTTCAAGTTGATGCTGGCGGAAATTTCCGGCTAGTCTTGAAAGACAATGTCAAACCTTGGGCTCGATACGCTATATTGACTCACTGTTATGCTACCGACGATGGCACGACTCGGCTGATGCAATCCACTTTTGAACGATTCCTTTCCTCTCAGCCTTTGTCAATTTTACCACCATCATACCGCGATGCATTCACGGTGCTTCAGCGAATGGGTCTTCAATACCTATGGATAGATCGACTTTGTGTTCTTCAGGACAGCAGATCCGATTTGGCTGCGCATGAGAATGCGAGGAAAGACATTCATGCCAACAGCTTCCTTGGTATCGGTGCAGCTTGGTCAAGCTCTCCAGCTTCTGGGCTCTTCGTCGAGAGAGACCCAGAATGTGTTGTAGCTAACGACAACCAATTCTATACAGCCAACGATGGAACGATTATCCCGCTCAGTGCGAAATCCCTGGTGCAAAGGATCAACTTCCTCAATGAGCCACTCTCTCGAAGTGCGAGTGCGTTAGAAGCGCGATTTCTCACTCCACGTATGGTTCATTTTGGGAGCAAAATGGTCTTTTGGGAGTGTTATGGTGCCATCGCTGACGAGGTTCATCCTCGTGCCAGGCATATCAATACTGGTTCAGGTCGTGAGAGCGAGATAGACCTCTTTGGGTCAGACATTAAGCCACTTCACGGTATTCAGTATACGCCGTCGAATAATCGAACCGCTCAGATACTCTCGCAATGGCGGGCTATTGTAGAGCAGTATACTCAATGCGAAGTGCAACAACAAGACGGTGGCGGCCGGCTCTTGGCGCATGTGGCCTCCGAAATCAAGAGACTTCTGGAACAGGAAAGCGTACAGGAGGTGACCTACCTCGCCGGGATGTGGAAGAATTTCTTCCCGGCTGAGTTACTCTGGCACTCTATCCCAAATGCCACTCGTCGTGTCAGAGATAGGGCGCCATCATGGAGTTGGCTGTCTCTAGAGGCCCCAATCAGGTACTCAACAATCCATTTGGAGAAGGCAAATGCTAGCCTGCTCTGCGAGTTGATCAACACTCCCTGTAATCCAGATGGAACAATATGTAATATTGTGCTGAGTGGTAAACTGGCGATTGCAATTGTTTCCCCCAAGACAGTCTTGCCCGTTTGCGCTGAGACTGAGACAATTTTGGAGACCAAGGCGCTGAAGAATCCGGATACCGGTGCAAGCATCGCTGAAGTGCAGGATTGGGAGTTGATACATCAACTCCACTGGTTGGTACACTTTGATACAAAGGACGATATGGATGTGGGCGAAGTATTCATGATACCAATTAGCACCGAGCCGGAACGAAGGGAGCGATGGTGGCATATTCGGGGGTTGGCTTTACGCGAACTTGATGATGGCAGTTTTATCCGATGTGGCTATTGTTCACTCTCATCAGACAATGAAGAGCAAGCGCGAGGTCTTTTCAAGGAAGTCTCCGATCGTGAGATTACCATTATTTGATAGTCGCAAGGAAATGTTTTCATTTATTATTTCGGTTTTATTTTAACAAAGAGTTCAAATTAATCTGTACAAGGTGCTGTCGGGCGTGGCATTTGCGGGTTTGGAACTCAAATCTCTTCTGGCTCGCATCCTAAACTCATACTCCCTCCTACCGCCCCACAAACGGTCTCTCGGTCTAGAAGGCTCCGAAAAGCTAGGAGAAGCGTTGTGACGATGTTCAAGTGTGTCCAACTGGCCGTTGGCTGGTCCCGCAAGTGCTTGACGTAACAGCGGTAACCCAAGACCAGTGCACTGATTGACATTTGCGCCAAAGCCCACGAGAGTCGTGACTGCTTCGGTCCAGCCATACTCGACGGCCCATGCAAGGGCACTTCTTCCAAGCGCATCCGGGGCATCTATGAGGTGAGCAAGTGACCCGTTACCAGCGATATGGGCTAGATAATCGTTCAGCGTTCCATGGCTGCGATTTGTGCCAAGTAATACCTGATGCAACACTGAGTTTTCTGGTCCGTATGTACTCGTTCCAGTAATCAGCCACAGGCTGCCCAAATAATCGACAGAGATCACCAAGCAAGGAATGAAATGGCTGTCGACCGTTCATTTCTGTCTCCACCAACATAAAATCTGTCATCGTAACCATAGGGGTGCTTTGGAAATTAGCCAGAGCCTGTTGGGAGGATACCAGTGGAAACATACTTCCCATCTTTATCTGTCCAGCCAGGATTGGCACCGGCGTCCAGGAGAGCTTGGCATGTGGACATGGCAGATTGCATGCCACAGTTCCGCCAGCAGTAATATGCACCGTACTGAGTCTTGTTACAATAGGTCCTACTCATCATGGGAGGAATAACTTACATGAAGCAGCCCTAGGCCATACGGGTCCACCACGTCAATTGGCACCTGGCATGACTGGAAAAGCTTTCTCATTCCACCAATGTCGCCATTTTGAACGCACACAAATATCGGTGAATCGTATGAAATCGTGACCGGGTATCGATAAAACACCTGCTCCGAGGGCCAGTGGAGCCGCGTGTCGGTGAAGGGACGGAAGGCAACTTCCAAGATGGCTTGGTTTGATTTCAGCCAATTGAGTTCATACATTGCCCTCTCTCTTATCTCCAGCCTTAGGGCTAGGCCAAACCTTGACTGGCGTGGAGATTCCGATTGCCCAAATATTGGCTGGAGCGAAGCATACAGCTTCTTGAAAAACGGGCGGGCCTCCTCCTGTTGAAGAACAACTTCAAGTTTGGCGTTGCCGTCAAATCGCTCCAAGAATTGTGTGAGTTCTGCAATGGTGGTCATGATTACCTGTTAGTGGTAACTCATACTTATTAGTCGTAAGAGGTTATGTCGTTAGTTGGTAAAGCTGATCACCTTGGAGATTCGATTTCTGGTAGGCAAGTAAGTAAATAGGTACGGAGTAGGTGAGGCAGCGACGCATCGTTACGCACCTGCCTACTTTACCTAGACCAGTATCCACTTTTCCCATCTCACCTCAGAATCAAAACGAGGCAGCCCAAACTCCAAAACATCAACCAAAAATCACCCATTCACGCATCTCGGAAAAAGCATCCTCAAAGGTCAGTTTATCAAACATATCATGCCAAGCATTCGGTTCAGCTAGAAAACAAATCAAACCCACACTATCCAAACCATTCCAAGAGCCACCTAACATTCATTCGAACGAAAGCCCCGGGCACCAAAACATCGACTTACCCAAACTGCTCGAGTGTCCTCTTGTTCAGCTGAGGAAGCTTCCAACGAAACGCGAATTACTTCATGAAAGTATGCCTTTAGATTTTGGGTAGTATTATATGGTACTTATTGTTAACCAAGAGCATAGTTCTCGACTTGCACCATGCAGTGCCTCTTGATCTCCCCAGTTTGAGGCACTCCGTCACTTGGCAGTCCGATAACATTCGAGCCACCTCTACATCCCCCTGAACAAGCACAGAACCAACCAGACAAAACCCCGCCATCTAAGTCCCGGGTACCTACAGAGTAGCGGCTTGCAGGTCTTGCCACCGACATCGTCCGCCAGTGGTCCCATGTATCCGCTCCGAGAGTCATGTGAGACTCCAAGAGCGTGTTCTTGGTGGCTATATTCGCTTGCACCTGGCCCAGCAAACTTGCCCCCAGCAAACTTGCCGTTCCACCCGTCGCCTGTCATCGTTACCTCTCTTCCTTCCTTTTTGGGGACGAGCGATCCCAACCGACCTATCTGTCTTCAGCCAAGACGAGCTATCGCTGTGTAGCTGAGATGGAAACACCTTTGCAGTCCTTGTTATTCTGACCCCCACTTGCAGAGTCGCTCTCTCGACGAGACGCTCGTATACAGAGTCACGCTTACCCAGGGTGACTCTAGCCCTGGAAAGTACGGCCGCTTGAGTAGGGGCCAACCAAACCTTTGGCCCATTGTCACATGGTGACTCCACTCTCAACCGCGAAGACCTTCAAGATCCTATCATCGACACTTTAGGGTGTTTCACAAGAGCGCGCAGCTTGCTCTGACGCCGGCCTTGTGTGACTGAGAACGGCGAGTTAAACCTACAGATAGGTTATCACACCTACGACAACTTCCGCAGGAGATGCGATACGTCAAACGATAATAAAAAAAACCTACGAAAGAGCGGTCAAATCGAAGCCAGTTCGCCAAGCACAGTACAGTCTACTCGGAACCACAGACACGTTTCCTCCCTGGATCGTGATGTGCTGCAGGAGGACCAGCTTTGCATGCCAGCGACTCGACTATCAGCCTGGCCTCGAAGACTATCGCTCGTCTTGACGGCAAGGGAGTCATCGGTATGAAGGTTTACAGAGTTTCCCGTATGCATGGCTGCAGCCTCGGGCTAGCAGAGCTTATTTTCGACATTGAGATACGAATCCGCAAAGGCTGTCGTAGGCCTTTGGGTCGCCTACGTGGACGATGTCTTCGAAGACAAAGTCCCAAGAGCTCTCACGAGCAATGATGACTAGGTCAGGTCTGCAGCGATCGCTCGTCTTGACGGAAGACAGATAGGTCAGTCCCAGCTCACACTCGATACTGAAATCCGAATCCGCAAGGCTGTCGTAGGCCTTTGGGTCGCCTACGTTGAGTTGACGATGTCTTCGAAGACGAGATTTCGGGTCTGGTATCTTCCTTTGCTAACTTTTACTGCCAGTTCATAATGTCTTAAACGCCCGCGCTGGTATTGAACAGCAGTTCGACTCAACCATGAGGCAGATATGCGCTCAGTCATAATACGAAAGGACGACATGGCGGGCGCCATCATAGGAATGGGCGGGTAGAAGAAAAATGAGATCCGCCAAATGAGTGACAGCGTCATCAAGATCAATGAGCCCCAGGACACGACGAGATTCAAATCCCGACTACGGAAGAGAGTTCGAGTATAAAGTCAAAAACAGCAATATAAGATGCCAGACCCGACATCTCAACACAATGAATACAGAGACAGCCGCCAGAATAAGCCGCTCGTCAGATCAACAATTAAACTGCCCTCTTTCACCTGACACCCATCTTATACCAATCCAAACAACACTGAGCTTGAGGCTCTTCGGCATCCAACCCAAGAGTACCGGTAGCCCCTTGGCCAGAGCACTTACACTGACACGTGCGCAGCCTTAGCTGGGAAATGGTGAGCAAAATTCCCGGTGAAGTTTAGTGGAAATATTCAACAGTGAAATTGAAACAGCGCCTGCTGCTTTGCAGGGGAAACTAAAACAAGTGGCTCCTCTAGTGTCCACGAAAGGGACTATAAAGAAGAATTATGAGCCAAGTGACTGTCGGGAAAACTGGGACTGCAAAGTTATCTCGACACAGGGTGTATCAATTTCGCGAACTCCTGCGATGGATAAGGGTCGCCAGTTCACGAAAGCTACCAAAAAGAAGAAGAAGGTTCTTGTTGTGGAAAAGCTAGCCAGTCTAGGCCGACTACCTGGACCCTCACCAACCATTTCGAAGATCAACACTGGCCCAAGTCCTGGGAGTCAAGCTACTCGAACTCTCACCCGCATGGACATGGTACCCATGTTCGAAGGCAAAGGCTAACTACTATCTCAAAGATCGGCTGCTAAGTCAGGTTTGGAGCGATCGCTCGTTTCAACGGACAACTGAGGGGTTAGACCCGTTGGAATTAGCTCGCTAGGGAAGACGGCTGTGTCGGGGCGTCAAGGGCGATATAGATGTTCTCCTACTCTGGGATGATATTCATTGAATCATCTATTGTTGAACCTATATGCCACAGTAAGATCGAACAAATAGGATAGCCACATTATTTTCCCTTACTATTACAATCTCTTCTGAAAAAGTGCGCCGTTGAGAGAGTCCTATTTTTGAGTCTTAGTAATCGACTTATCGCTTGGAGGGAAAATACAACGTCAATGAAGCACAAGGTTGCCTACTCAAACGCATACACATACCAAAGACTCCCCGGTTGCTGGCTAGGTAACGAACAGAGCTACCAGTGTCATTTCCGGGTGCGAAGAGGGGCCCGGCAACATATCGACGTATGCTACCGAAACTGCAGGTCTTGAGGCTGTGTCTTCGTCTCTATCTCCACGGGCATGAATGGGCATAGCAATGGACTATCACAAGGCAAGCAGCAGATGCGGCAGTACCAGGGCCATAAATACGTTGCACAGCACAGAGGGCCACCATGCTTACAGGTTGAAACAAGGCAGAATTCTTTGGGCTTTGCCGGTACATGTTTGAATGTAAATACTTCCCCATCGGCTTTGGTCTGATTCAGCTCCATCCTATCATCGTATTCGGCTCTCATCAGCCTGCAGCCTGCAGTTACATCAATGTTTGCGGGGTCAAAATCCCGTCAGCTCACATGCGCTGAGGTGGCCCCAACTTGTAACGCTACACCTGAGACCATGCGAAATCTGCCCGCCATACAGAGAGCCATCGAAAGCTTGGACACAGAAGCTGATATTCGCGATGCAACAAAGAAACGTGCATCGGTGGCACGCGCCGGCCTGCCGCCATCCCGATGTTGAGGTCCTGATAGACCATACACCATATTGCCGCACTTGTGGCCACACGCCTCGCGTTACAGACGTTGTCGCGAATAAGGTGTCGGCCGGCTCCATACCGAGAGTTCCGCCAGACGTTCGTTTGGGAGAGCTTGATCTTTGGTGGCCCCGATCTGTATGCTATCTCAAGTCTGCTGCTCCGCCACTGTCACCGTGCCCGAAGCCCGTATCACAACCACCAAGGAAGTTTGAGCCAGAGATCCCCGAACCGGTAATTGGGTCTGACCCTCCGTACCCTTCTACACTCGGGCGGATGAGTTTCGTCTCATTTGTCTCGAAGCTGCGGCCTCGCCGGGCGATCCAATCCATTTGATGCTCGAAGTTTACTGCCTGGACAACTGCCCAGAATACGAGACAGTCTCCTACACCTGGGCTGGAGAAGATGGAGATGGCAGGCTTTGTAAGCCCATATACATAGGAAAGTACTGGGACCTTCTCCTTCAAACCAACAACTGCTGGGAGATGTTGCGATTCATGCGACCCCGTCGCTGGACACGCCTCATTTGGGTTGATGCGATATGCATTAACCAGAGCAACATCAGGGAGAGAAACCAGCAAGTGGGCAATATGGGAAGAATCTATTCTGCCTGCAGCCGCGTCGTTGTCTATCTGGGGCCTGACATTGCTGTTCCGCTACACGATAGACATCCTCGCCGTCGAAGATTGCATGAGTTGGCGAGCGACGCCGTTAAGCTTGATTTTGCTCCCTCGCAGCGAATCCACGAGGATCTTCCGGATGAACAACGACCCCCTCCTCCACCACACAACCTAGGAGACTTACTGCGACGTCGATTCTTTTCCCGAATTTGGGTTGTGCAGGAGCTTCTGTTGACACGAAGCGTTGTGATCAGGGTTGGGGATGTAGACTTTTGGGCTGATGTCGGCATGAGGTCGCAGTTTCGATCAAAGCTCCCAGATTGGGACTGGGGGGCCACCTCGGCGGCATGGGTACAGCATACTTCAAAGGGGAGAGGGTGTGTCAGAGATCTCAAGGAGCTCCTCTCCTTGACCTCGCTATCGGAAGCCACCGATCCGCGTGATCGGATCTTTGGGTTGCTTGGTATCATACCAGTCTCAGCGTCAGCAGATCACAACGAAGAGGCTTTAGCAATATCGAGTCTCACGGACTTTGAGGCTGACTATTCTCTTTCCTGTCAGCACGTGTTCATTGGGTTGTTTGCATACTGTCTGATCAACCTGCAGCAGTCTAATATTCTCTATCATGCAGCATGCCTCTCCTCGAACCGCCGACATTTTCCGTCATGGATGCCCAACTGGAATTCAACGGTTACTTGGAGAATTCTGTTTTGCTCGCCCAATCTGACGGCTGAGGATTTGTTCAATGAACTTCAGAGATTGATAGACATCGACAGCCACCTGTTTGAACTGTTTTCGCTCTGTGGTCCTGGTAAACCCGAGATCACCGCGCAACGCCGCTGGGATAAGGATGCATATGTCGACGCCACCTCGGGGTCGCTCAATATTTATCTAACGCAATACATGCACTTGACGAGAAAATTGAGGCTCATTGGCAGGCTGAAGGAATTCTATATCTTTGTTGCACATTTCAGGATGGTCTCAGTCTATCTCGTGTCCGAATACAGACTCGACGTAATGATTTCAGACGACGATCAAGTTGAGCTGTTCATACTTGCCAACAATGGCACTCTCACCTACCTTCTGCTAAGGCGCGAAGCGGATGAAGATGGAGAGGAAAGGCACAGCCTCGTGTCTGCGTGTCCCTTTGTCTTTATTCGTTTCCCTGCTGATCTGAGCCAAAACATTATACCAGAGCTGCGTCCTCTCTTCCTCTACAATCTGCAATACAGCCTGCATGATTTCGCCATGGAAATTGGATCAATATTAGATCGCTCCATGTTGGCTCTAATGGGGGAAAATATGAGAGGAGTGTTCCCGGGGTTGCGAACATACAGAGATGCGATGCCAGTGGTGAGGTTCCTCTTCGAGCAGCAGGAAGACCTGCAAAAGATGGGCGTCACAAACGTCGGAGAGGAAATCGAAATCGCTTTTGCGCACAAGTTCGCCAGCTGCATAGATGCGAAATACTCGCCGCGCGTCCATGGGGACTCCATCATCATCACCCTGTCCACCGCCTGGGAGAAGACTCGCAATGTCTATATTACCCAAGCAGGTTGGTTGAGCCGCCGTCTGCAATCCGAGGTACCAAACTGGCATGTTCGCATCCGCGGCTCAGAAGATGGTTGGACAGTTCCGATCCTATCTCATTCGAAGTACAAAAAAACATTCCAACCGGGCCAAGAGAAGTTTTATGACGTAGAGTTCAAGGCTCAAAAGGCCCTAGAACTGCTGCTAAGATCCCCTGATCTAGAATTGGCTTTCAAGGAGCTACACGAGTTGTCATTTCACACCCAGGAGACAGATGACTCCTTGTGGGAACTGGTGACTACCGACGCAAGCGAGAAATATCAATTCAGAGCCTGTCCTAAATATGGGGTTACTAACATTAGTCTCGAGATTCTGATCCTGTGTAATGATATCGATATGGATTGTGGCACGTTTATGGTAACTATCGTTTAGTTTTCCAACTAAGCTGGAGCCCCTGTGGTCATGGTTGGGATTGGCCTCTTATCTACCTGGGATTCGATCCTTTAACGGGTTTCGACTAAGATTCGTTATATCCGCTCTTTGTAACTGCGATTCTACCTCTATCTAGATACCATAGGCAAGTTTTCAAGCTCAGTCGAAGACGCGGGATGTCAGTCTTCATCTACGGGGCTGAGCGGAGGAACAGCTATAAGAGAACCAGACTATTGCTGCTTGTTACATCATGTGATTGAAATTCATTCCTTTATCAACTCCCTTGGCATCCTGTATCCTTGGCAAGCCCCACTGTGGGATGTTACTTATCTTTGTTCCTGTGGATGGACCCGGTAAACTAGGTATACTATCCGCCAACGGGTGGAACATGGAATGCGGTGACCCGGAGATTCGGGTTTGACTATCGGATGAGACAGTCTCCCCGGGAATAATTAAGGCTCGATTCCTCCTCTTTGTTTCCCGTATTCAGCAACTTATGTTTTTTTGTCATCGTCGAGTTGGAAAATGCGGAGGGATACTACTATTGTCGCGACCGCCTCGCTCATGCGGCCAGTATTTGCGGGTTTCGTCCAGCCTGCACTGCAAGCTCTCACATGGGCGTTCAACGGGACCGATTTTTGGGCACCCGTTCACCTAGATTCAGCGGTGTACCATTTGCAAAGCCGTGCGGGATACATCACAAACTCGCTCAGTAAACGGGGCTCATCGTCTGGTAATTACTTCGGGTGCACTGTTCTCACCATCTCGGACCCCGTCGTAAGTCTTTCATCAGCCATTGTGGATAACCTCCTGCCGAGTATGAAATAGTCGATGTTTGGAGCGCCGAGCAGTTCCTTGATTGTCTGTTTATACAGTACAATGGGACCCAGAATGGAATCGCTCTGAGCCCATCCGTCGCCGATTCGCTTAGCAGCCATGGAGTAGAGCACTTGTTCCTCCACTCGGCATTCAATGCTACCGGCCTCACAACCACCGCAAGTGTTTCAATTGTTGAATCTAGCTGTGAGCTAGGAAACGGCCCTTACGTTGTGACCTTGCCGGACTGTGAGGAGGGTGGGTTGTCTGTGACCCCAGTTTACGCACTCCATCCAGACAACTATGAAGGTGAATGGGCATGTGGAGCGCATAATTCTTCCATTCTCTTAGCTAACTCCCAGTTCTTAACCTTCATGTATGGCTCCTATTTAGACGCAACCGAGCCGGGCAGGCACCAGCATCTCCATGTATCTCTTCCGGGAACCCGCGTGCCAAATATCATTGTGCCATCTAGGCTCTCATCAACTAAGCTCGGTGCAAGGGCCATTGGCTGGTCTTCGCTTCGGCGTCAAGGACATCTTTGACATCAAAAGGCTGAAAACATCTGGGGGGAGTCGAGCCTACTACGAGACATATGGCTACCAGAATTACACAACCGAGACGGTCCAGCTATGCGAGAACGCCGGCGCCTCCCTGATTGATAAACTGCGCACAATCACCTTCGCCCTCGGCACACCACGAAACGGCATGTCGGTGGTCTTCCACGATCCCTGGAATTCCTGCGGTGATGGGTACATGTCCACCGGTGGCAGCTCGTCCGGATCTGGTGCCGCCGTCACGGCCTATGAATGGGTCGACTTCGCCCTGGGGTCCGACACTGGTGGCAGTGTGCACTTCCCTGCTCGGTTTGGAGGCCTGTACGGCTACAAACCCACCCACGGGATCTACAGCCTGACTAGGATACTCGTTGCGATCGCGGAGCAGGACACACCGAGTTTCCTCGCCCGCTCCCCCGAAATCCTCACTCGTGTTAGCCGCGTGTGGGCGGATGGCAAGCCGCTAGCACCGTCGCCGGAGGTACTGCCGCGAAAGATGCTGCGCTACGACGAGCAGGCGGCGTTCACCCAACCTGCCGCCGCGGAGATGATCAAGAATTTCTTCGTCGATATGGCTCGTATTCTAGATTTGTCAGACAACCATTCCGTCAATATTACAAAAAGATTCCTGGATGCCAATGTCAGCGAAACCGCAAGCCCCCAGGCCCCAGCGGTGTGGATGAACAATGTCTACTCGGATTTGAACAACGTGCAGGGCTAGGACGAGATCGGCGCTCCCCTAGCCACTGCCTACGCCGAGTTTCCAGGCCACGAGGGCGCATTCCCTCCAATCGAGCCTCCAGTCAACATGTCGTGGACAGATGGCCGGGATCCTGCTACTCGAGCGCGATACCCTGAATCGCAGCGTCGCCGGCAGGTATTTGGCGATTGGTTCAACAAAGACATCCTCCCTGGAAACAATGAAACGTGCAGCGAGTATCTCTTCGCGCACAGCTACCACATCCCGCCAAACACGGTCAAGACGGACCCTGCCGAGGCTCGACACGTAAAGGGTTGGTACGACGGGCTGTATGTCAACTACGCGAAGACGCCGGAAATCGTAGTGCCGATTGGACAAATCGAGTATCGTAGCAAGTATACCAACGGGACCGAGTGGCAACCCGTTACGGTGGCTTTGGGTGTCGCGAAGGGTTGCGATCTAGTGCTTTTTGATGTCGTCGACAAGTTGACAGAGGCAGGGCTTCTCAAAGAGGTCATGGCTGGAGTGTTGGCGTATCCGTTGACATAGCTCAGTGTAATCATGTCACTATGAATATGATCTGTTTAGCTCACTGTAGGGTAGGTAGCAAATTTTAATTAGCGTAACCAGCGCTCTTGTCATGACTCATGCAGTGGTGGGGATAGGTACCGCCATATGGTTGCGCTAGTCATGGGCAACAATCCCACATTTCCTTCAGCAACCAGGCCCTTTTTTTGTGTGACAGTCAACAGCGGGTGATATCAAAAACTGCCTGTATAAAATAATGTAGCGAATAACTGAGGTTGCAGCATTCGGGATAGAACGAAGTACAACTAGCAGACGATTTCAATAGCTTATCATCTATTGAGTTCCAAAGCTAGCCTGCAGTTTCTCAAGCGCTGACTCTGTCGCTGTAAGCGCCAAGCAATCGTCAACTTCCTGCCCCAAGTTAATCAAGAGCCTGTATGCTTCGGGCTCCATCCGAGTTTGCGGCCCAGAACAGCCTTGGTACGTGAGCTTGCGGCGTAGTAAGTAATGTGAACTCCTTCATAAGTGAAAAAAAAGATATACAAACTTACCTTCCCGCAAATGGCAATTGTCCCAAAGTCAGAGGTAGGCCGGGCATGTAAAGATCGGCAACCGCCGGCAAATCAAGTGATTTGACCTCGTCGGACTCAATCAAGCCTCGCTCCTTCAACACGGTTGCGAGAGCTTGAGCATAAAGGAACCGGACGTATGCTCCCCGCTCTCACAGAAGTAAATACTCTGTTTGCCGCTGGGGATCTCCTGTTCATTGTGGATTCTGGCCAGCAAGGTATTCAGCAGGCTGGCAATGTCCTCAACATGGATGTGGTTGTAGACCGACCTCCCCTCTCCAATCATGGCCACGTAGCCGTACTTCTTTGCCGCCGCCACCATGGTGGGAAGCTGGAAGGTGAACTTGTTGAACTCCCCGCGGCCTGTGCCGTGGATTATGGGGGGGATCACAATGTAGGTGGGCACGCCCGCCCTCTCGCCATGCTCGACAATAGTGACGTCTGTAGTCCTCTGAGGATAGTGTTCGAACGATTCACGGTACTTTTCGTACGCGTACATATCTTCTTCATCTGACTTGACACGATTGTCAATGAACTCACCCGTCACCAGCCGATCGCTAAAGTTGGAAGTGCCGGAGATGGAGAGAAAGTGAACTTTCTGCCCGAGCTCCCTTTGTCTCTTCTCTTGTCCAGAGATGAGGGATTTGGCGGCAGTGGGATGCCATCCTTGACCTGTATGGACGATGACTGTTGTAGCTGTGTTAGAAACATGACAGCACGCTTAGATGGGCTCCAGGGCTAGACATGCTGTCAAAGTCTTGACCGATCCTGGTCAGAAGCTCCGACTCGTCGAACGACTCAAACAACACAGGCGTGATATTCTTGGCGCAGGCGAAATCGGCCTGGTCCTTTGTTCTCACAAGCACGGAGATGTGGTAATCGCTGACCCATTCATTGCTCCCGTCCAAGAGCGTGGCCAGAAATGCGCCGCCACTGGATCACATAAGGCATGTTCAGTCTTCAAAACCACTGCGACGGCTATGTTATCGCGAGACTTACATGTATCCGGAGGCGCCGGTGACGAGGATGGATTTCGGAGCCATTTTTCATTCAGTCAAGGTCTGGTCAAGGCTAGTGTATCCAAGAACTACGGTAATCGAACTTGTGCAGTCACGAGCCAAGCTTTATAATAGACACACGATGCCAAGACAAGACTACTAACATAATAAACTCCGCTCGTTAGAATGTACACAACATATTGATATGCAGAATGATCTGCAACATGGTGGCCAAGTTCCGTGAGAAGGACAAAGCGTGTAATTGGGTTTTGCAAGTCCGCAACCTGCGGAGCGGACTTGTTGTTGCAACGCTACATATGCTAACCCGGAAACCGAAAGCGAGGGAGATGCCGAGGGGCTCAAACGGCTCAAATCAAAGAGACCCCAGCGAGAGCAACGAGTTGTGCTGCGGAATGGGATAGCTCGCACTAGATCCACCCGTTATTAATGCCAACCCAAGAACTACATCTAAACCAGGGGCAGCTCAGTAGGCCTTTTTGGAGTAGGCGAGTCTGGAGATGGGGGCGGGGCACAAAGGAAGCGGGCAAAGAGTTTCTACTCTGAGCGACTTGAAGTAGTCCTTGGCGCAACGCCTTTCAAAGATAATCAGGATAGACTCCGGCACACCTGAATGGTTTGATCAATACTACCCTCCTATGTGCTACTTGATGCAAAGGCTACGAGCGCGTTCCAAACGATGGGATGTCGACCTCCATGTGCGAAACACGGCATCATTCCGGCTGTATGCTGTCTGGCATGTAGCCGACTAAATATGGAAATTCAGTGATTATTCGCCATCTCCGGTAGAAGACTTGACGAAATGGCATTCTCTTGGCTCTAAATGACACGTATAGGTGGATTCAAGTCGCTCTTCCGTACCTTCTAATGATTTCGCTCCTGATCGATGAGCGCATGGAGAGGCGCGCGGTCATCACTCGGCGGCGACAGGACGAGCCGTATGTCGATACCCAGAAGCACAATAATCTCGGCGGATCCCTGCCGTAGGTGGCCCAGGCCTGAGTTGCCTGCTGTAGGTAGGACATATCGTCACTATGAAGCATCATACCATCCCGCAGTCTCCACGGCCAATGGACCGCCAGCGAGTGACAGAGTCGCATCTTATTAGTGGAGAATGACGCCTTTGTGTATCGTATCTCCTCGTTGTTAACACGTATTTACACATAATGCCTCGAGTGGAGGGAGGGTGAAAGTGGCTGGCTCCAGCGTAGAGTGAACAATCACGCCGTGTGCCCTCTCTTGGACTCTTGTCAAGGAAAATTGCCAGTCTACGCACAAGGCTCGACAGAAGCGCCCGACCCAACAATGGGGTCGAACCCAATTACCGACCTTGTCGCAGAGCACAGACCAGACCTGGTCCCGTTACAGGAGTTGTACAGATTCTATCATGCAAACCCCGAGCTGTCAAACCACGAAGTCGAGACGGCAGCCCACATTTCTCAGCAGCTGCGCGGCATTTCCCCAGATCTCATCATCAAGACTGGAATAGGCGGCCACGGCCTCACTGCGACGCTACACAATGGCGAGGGCCCGACCGTCCTGCTACGTGCCGACATCGATGCGCTGCCTGTACTGGAGCTGACTGACCTACCGTACGCCAGTCGTAAACGCCACTGAGATGTCCACGGGGTCGACAAGCCCGTCATGCATGCCTGCGGCCATGACATGCACATAGTCTGTCTCCTGGGCGCTGCGAAGCTCCTCATCGGTGCCAGGGCCGCGTGGGTAGGGACAGTCGTCTTCCTTTTCCAGCCGGCTGAGGAGCGCGGCACCGGCGCCGAGGCCATGGTCCGCGATGGCCTGTACGATCCGGAGAGGCATGCGGTGCCCGTCCCCGACGTGGTGCTCGGCGGCCACGTCGTCCCTCTGCGCGCGGGAGTCATTGGGACCCGGCGAGGGCTCTTCGCGACCAGCGCCGACAGCCTGAAGGTGACGCTACACGGCAAAGGGGCCCACGCATCATCACCCCACAAAGCAGTTGACCCGATCGTCATGGCCTCGAGCGTCGTTCTCAAGCTGCAGACAATTGTGTCGCGCGAGGTTGACCCCGCCGACACTGCTGTGGTGACGGTAGCAAGCGTCCATGCGGGGGATGCCGAGAATGTGATTGCCGATGATGCGGAGCTAGCCATTGACACGCGGTCAATCTCGCTTTCGACGAGAGAGCGTGTGCTTGCCCGGATCAAATCCATCGTCCAGGCCGAGAGCCTCTCCTCGCAGGCGACGCAAGAGCCCACGTTCCTGACGACCAGGTCATACCCCTTGACGGTGAACGATGCTGCGACGACTGCTCGGCTCGAGGAAGCCTTCGCTGCACACTTCGGGGAGGCGCGAGGACAGTACCAGCGCGACATTCGTCGGCCGAGTGGGAGCGAGGACTTCAGCATACGGGCGTCGTCGGTGGGGAAACCGTATTGCTTCTTCTCGTTTGGCGGCATCGACCAGGACGTATGGGACGAGGCCGAGGCCAGCGGCTCGCCGGAGGGCAAGATTGCTAGGAATCATTCGGGGCGGTTCCAGCTTGCGATTTCGCCCACGTTGCAGACTGGGCTGGACGGTTATGCCGTGGCGGCACTCGCTTTCCTGGCAGCACAGTAGACCACGGCTGGTGCATCGAGTCGTGGGAAGATGATGTACTTTGGTAGTACTCATGAAGGAATCTTAGGGCTGATATAAGAAGACATTGATCCATGAAGCTGAATGCAGCGATTCTGTGCAGGCCTGGTTGCTGAAGGAAATATGTGACTTTGCTATCCGTGACTAGAGCTCATATCGATAAGACAGCGCTATCAGATTACAGGTGCCTGCCTGTCAACCTCTTTACCTCTACCATCTTTTCATCTGCTTGTGCGAACCAAGTCCTGCCCCATAACTGATTCTTTTGCTTTCATTCTCTTCCTACAAAAAACCGTCGATGGCATATTTTGAACAGATACCCGTCCTGCGTACTTCGTTTTCGCCAATCCATCCAAATCGCCAACCCTTTCCCCTCGAATGAAGTTAGATACATCCCGATACCCGGAGCCGTGCGTCCTACGCGAGTGCAAAACGTCCGAGAGTACAGAGATCACTCGGCTTGTACAGAATCATTGACGATTTCCGCTATGCAAAGACAGAATCAACAATCGCGATCAGGGTACGATAACAAGCTCCAAGCTCCAATGTCCAATGTCTCAGGCCGCCTTGCTAAACTTGTAGATAGAGGCGCCTCCTCCAACAACGACCGCGAACGTTATCATCATATTCCGCATCGACTTTCTGGCCCAAAGATTCATAATATCGTCCATTCGTCCCTTGAACCCGCTCTGCGTGTTGGCATGCGGGAATTCCTCTATAGGCACTTCCTTGCCTAGGAATTTGCACAGCGGCTCCCACCCATCCTCGACGCTCCATTCGAGCAGTTTCTCCCCTTATCATGTTGTTATGTTCTACCGGACGGAACCACCGAATTAGCACACAACAAGACCTCGACTGAAGAAACAATAGCGGAAGACAAAGCCATACCCCGGTAAATCCAGTGCCCATTTCCGCAGATGCCTCGCCTGCTATGCCATCCGGAGCCCGGAACTGGCAAGCCCACAGAAACCTCCAGTATACATGCCATGCCCAGAACGCTTCGGTGCTAAACCAACTCAGGATGTAGTGCACGGGGCTTACCTCGCCAACGAGCATCTTGCACACGCTTTGATACCAGGCGTCCTCGTCCCTCCGAATGTTAAGAACGACCTTGGCGTCGGGGTATGCCTCGATAAGCTCCGCAGCGAAGACCGAACCAGCCGCGTCTGTGACCGCCGTGCAATGGCCGAGGGCCTCGTCGAAATCCGCGGCAGTGATCTTGCAGTCGCCATCCAAGATGCTCCTGTCGCTCGTGCACATTTTGAACTTCCTCCTCGCCAGATTCACCCACTTGTCCGAGTAGAGGAGCTGCCCGAACAGAATGTCCCAGCCATGGTAGGTGTAGTCGTAACCCAGGGTGATGAAGGCCTGCTGCAGAGAACCTGCATCGGCTCCTTTCGCACACGCGGGGGTGCATACGGCAACCGGTAGACTGTGCGTTCTAGCAGTTCCCACGACATGGCGATGATGTGAACATGTCAAGTGAGGCAGCGAGGTCCGCCACAACTGGGAGAGAGCAACACAAGCTTTATAGTCACAACTTGAAACAACACGTCAAATTACTCGTTGGCATTCTCACTGCGGAGTTCCGCAAAACCATAACCAGCTTGGTCGATTAGTGGGTAATCGCCGAAGTGAGTCTCAAAGAGGAAGTTTGGTGCGTGTGGTCCGACGATGGAAATATGGATAGCTCTGGGAGAAATCAGCACTAGGAAACAAGAAGGGATCTTGGGCCTCGCTTCGTCTGACCAATTGGATGTCTTGTTCCAGGTATACGCCTTGTTTAAAGATCAGCATGTGCCAGTCGATATTGATAGCCGAGAAGAACTGGGCGGGTTCATCCCAACTGCATAGCAAATATTGCTCCCTCACGCTTCACTTCGCCCTTTGAAACCTTTTGGTAGAGCTTGACCGGTTACAAAATGGTCACTTATGGAGCTGGGGGTCCAACTACGCTGATCTCACCGACTACATGTATTCTCCTCACGAGTCACGACACCGGCCCCTCACAAGACCTCAATATGAGGCAGACATCATTGAAACAAAGACCTGAGTCTCTACTCACCATGGTTCTTTTGCCTGCATCCTGCGCAGTATTCTCAACGCCAGGACTTTTAGAGGAGATCTTTCTCTGCGACACTTGTTCCTTCCGCCCCTCTTCTCGGTTGACCCCTCATGCAAGTACCAAGCCGATCGCTCCTGCCTCCCTCATTCAAAACTAGGGAGGTGTCTTTGCTCGAGCTTGCAGTGAAAAAGTACATAGCACGGCAGGTCAGGACTCGATTCGACTTCAACCAAGCATCAACACCTTCTTTTCCACCAACTCCAACTCCAAGGTCCGCGCCGACTCGGTTGCGACGCAGCTTTCCACGTGCTGTGGAGCGCTAATCCCGTTGTGACACCTTGCGTCAGGACGGCTCCAACATTTTCCAAACTTCTACACCAAGAATACCCTTTATGCACCGCACAAAGAAATAAACAAACCCCTCCTCGTAAGTCAATACTATCTGCAATTGACGTATCTTACCTAAGACAAGCTTGTTTATACATGGAAAACTTCTGCAGAGAAGCCCTTCGTGATCGTGTCGGACCAGTCAACTATACAAAAACCGTTCTTGAACCGCGACATCACCGAGCGATGAAATCCGCCATTCCAAGACTGCAGCCTTGGACTAGCAAGGATTTTTTCTTTAACCTCTCGTATTCATTGTGTTGAGATGTAGGGTCTGACATCTTCTATCGTTGTTTTTTACTTTATACTCACTCACACCAGGATACAAAAACCGATCTTGAACCCGCGAAACGACCGAGCGATGAGATCCGTCATTCGAGACCAGCATTTTAAAGAGCTCGCGAAGCTGATTATTCTGACAATATCTTCAACCCGGGTCGGCCCGCGAAGGACCTTAAAACCAGAAGTAGACACGAAGGTGCAAACTCGCTGATCCCGGCTGGGCGCTGAGGCAGGGAGCCTATGTGCGCCCTCAATTGCTCCTCTGGCGGTCGACTTCATCAGTGGAGCTACGGAGCCCAAAGATCTTGCGCTTATGCATAAGGACAAATGTCGAAAGCTACTGCAAACGCAGGAAGCACAAAAGAAAGAGAATAAAGTTCAACAGCAATGGACGCTGCCAGAGCCCGACAACTCAACTCAATGAATGGATAAGGACAAATGTCACGATGTGTTGTGATGCTGGGTATGGTGTCAAGTTGTTGAATTCTTGGTGTTTGGGAATTTCCCCTTTTTTTTCAGCAGTTGCCACATAACTGCATAGCTCTCTCACTTACTACTAAGGACAAATGTCCAAAGCTACTGCAAACGCAGGAAGCGCATGACAGGGAAAAGAGAAAAATTGAGCTGGGCCAACTTCGGCAAGCTGCCTCAGCGGCCGTCGACTCCGATCTGCAGAATACGTGGGAGAAAGAGAATAAAGTTCAACAGCAATGAAAGCTGCCAGGGCTCGAACGGAGAGAGTTTTGATAGAAAGTTAAAACAAAAGAAGATGTCAGACCCGACAACTCAACACAATGAATAGATCTACAGAATACAGGCTTCCAAGTCATGGGTGACGCTGTCTGATTTGAGTCCCAGTGACTTCGCCAGCATCTTTTGAAACGAGGATTCCTACCTAATCTGAGGTCAACCTTGGACAGTTGGGGGTATAACGGCAGGAGCTCGTCGCTCTCCGATGTGGGTATCCCTTGAGACGAAGCTGGGACTGGGTGTTGCAAATACAGGCATCAATCAGTACGGTTGATATTGTGAGTGGGCATCTTGCCTTCAAGGGAACATACCATAGAGCAATGACCGCCGGACCACATATGAGGCTCTTGTCGCCATGTTGGCGTGAATTGAAGTGAAAGATTGGACAATGAGGGACACGGATAAGCAGGGGAAAGAGGAAGCTGTACACACACACAACATCCATAACCACACCAATAAAGGCATATGGCACATAGTGTTTATCGCGTTAGTTGATAGCTTCATCACCCGTATTGTGATTCATCGTACGAATACCTTCCTCATCTCGAACGATTGAGCGGATTAAGAGGAGGGGGATTTCCCACGAAGGGAGCATTTGAAACGCTCGTCGTAGCGCCTCATTGCCGGCTTCAATGAACAAAGGAAACGCGAATAGTCAGTCAATTCACTCGTCAGTCACAAGTTAGAGTCTCAATTGAACGAAGGGGAAAGCGTGTGTTTTCTAGCTCAGCTGCAACAAACGGCTCCTTTTATCTGAGTGTTCAACGGCATGGCCTGTGAAAGCCATAACCTTGTATCCCTACCTCATTACTTTACACTCAATCTCTCTCCAGGATCAACGAGCCTACCAACTTTGACATAGACGCACCTGGACGAGATAAGGTCGGGCTGTGAGAGGAGACTTCGACGTCAAGGAGTTGAAGAAAAAGGGCCTGAACATCGCACGTGGTGATGGTAACTAGGCAGACAAGCAGTTTGCCTTCAAGGAGGCCAGTTGGTGTCATATGCTTATTCCACAACCACTGGTTCAAACGGTCGGTAATTTACTAGTTGACCATGCTCTCGACAGAGTGATCCATCCTCTGGAGCGAACCCACTTATCCGAAGCCTTACGCATGGGCCAGCAGTAAGATACTATCCATCACGCTCTCTGGACTTCTCACCAAGACGACGTTGAAAGACGCACAAAAAGAATGGCATGGGTGGCTAGACGCTGGGCCTCATCTCCGTTGGTCGAGTTACCATGGCTTCTTAGCATCCACTTGATCTTACCGCCAACTCGCCAGCGTCTGAAGGAAATCCCCCGTGATTTACTTGCGACGCCTTCTGCTGCTTCTCGTCACGAGCGTAATTTTTGCCCGCCAAGACTATCTTCCTACTGAGACCTGACTGTTGGGAGGATAATCAGTTCGATGGCTCACAGCTGTCAATGAAAGATGTGTATGGGGCCAAACGAACAAACAGAGAGAAGAAGAAGAAGGAAACGAAGAAAGCAAAGAAATAAGAAGAAAATACGCTTGGGTAGTCTTGTGTCAGGAGATATTCCGCTTATAAAGCCACAGATCCTAGTACGTTGCGGGATGACCGATAGTTCCTGAATACTCCGGAGCCCGCGTCTCGCCGTTGTGGAGCATCATATCCCTGCCGAAAGAAACATGGATCAACAGCACCGTGGTCATAATGAGTCGGTGAATAATGGATACTTGACTTTTCCTGAGGCGTCCAAGCCTCGTGTTATATGTCACCTAGTTCGTGAATATGCCGGTGATCTAGGCAGCCGAGTTTCCAGTCATGTTATTCTACCAAACTCGTATCCTCTTCATCCCCAGCAACTGCGCCAATCTCCGTCTTCCGCGGAAGGCCGGGACTCCGCTTTCCGAGGAAGGCATGTGGAAGACGCAGGATCCTGATGGCCAAGCTTGAACTAGCGACATATCGTCCACGATTAGTAAACCTTTGCAGTATCGGCAACCTGTACCCCGGGCTTCCGACATGGACAAGCCTGAGACTGACAAGCTACACCCTGTCACCCAGCTATCTTACACTATCGTGCTGCTTCATTGGCTCTTTTGTACGACACTTGCAGGGAACGGGTTTCCCCAACAAATAAAAAAAGGAGGAAATCCTGCGGAGAATGAAATACCAACGAGTGATTCCGGTTACCCCCAGCGACATTCCAGCCCTCTAATACTCTTTCTTATCATTTGTTCCCGACTTGCTAGCATCTTTGGCCAGCATTACAAGCAGTATGAGCTCTCCATTAGAGGGTGAAGCGTCAAGAAAGGTACGCAAGAACGTCAGGCGGAGGCCACGAGCTACCAGTGCCTGTCTTGACTGCAGACGACGAAAAGTGCGCTGTGATGTTGTATTGCGACGGCCTTGTTCCAATTGCCAGCTCGATGAATATGACTGCCAAGTCATGGCAAGGCGTCCAAAGCGGTATGTTGAGTACAATGGTCCTAATAATCTCGGTTCAATATGGCCGGCCCTATTATCCATCCCTCTCCATCAAATACCTACTCTAACACGTCTTGTCATATAGAGCAGGGTCCTGCGGCGCGTGCACGCAGCAAGGCGATGGAACCGATCCTACCTTACCAACGTTTTTCGTCGAAAACTATCCCGTATCGTCATCATCGACAAGACTGTCAAGCGATACCGAAGCCAAACGAGAAAAAAATGAGACGCCGACTGAACCAACAACCCCTCGATCTCCAGGACGCCTCGGATCTTTCAATGACTACGTATCGATCATGGCGACAGAGATGTCCTTTCTCGAAAATAATGGCTTCTTAGCAGCCGCAGCCGTTGTGGTTGTGCTACAAGAAACGACAGTACAGCGCCTCCTCATTCGTCAAAGGGATCCGCAAGTACGTGGCGATGCGATAATTCGACTCCGGCGATGCAGAGACACTATCAAGAAGCTCAGAGGTCGCCAGACTTCACTTGGGCATCGAGCAGACCATCTCGACCGTGTTCTACTCGAGATTAAAAAGGATATCCAGCACTTTGACAACGCCGATCCTACTACGGAGGCCCACTTGCCTGCAAATACGACCCTGGGATCATCACCCTTATCGTGTGGGCTACTCACGCAAGCGACAATCCCAGACCAACCATCACCATCACTAGTTTTTGACGATGTCATAAATTTTGGGAACGACGAATTGGAGCTTGAGGTAGGCGTCACCGCGAGATAGGTAGATGATGACGATGCGATATGCTTACAATATGCCAGGAAACTCATCCCACCCCAATCGATCAACAGTTCACTTTTGCACCCGACCCCATCGATGGAGGAAGTAAAGCCAGCCTTGGTACCTCAACCGCATACTCTACTGCCAGCTCGTATAGTGATGATAGCTTTGCGCATTGGACCCAAATTCTAGAAAATACCCCACCGTCTCAAGCTTGTGATGCTGGAAGCAATCTAACAGATGCGGAAAGATCTTCGAACATACCCATGGTCATGTAACATGCCACATCTCTCGTCGTGGAGAGTCTAGTGTGCTGTGCAATCAGCTCATAGAGCATAACGCTTGCTTATCATAAACATATGCACTACGATAGAATCGCCAAGAGGCAACCAAATACACACACACAACACATTTTAGCCCAAAACGCTTCAAGCAGGTGGAAACTTCTTTTGTTCGGCCCCCCACTAATCACAAACCAATGGGGATAGGATTGCGGCCCCGTGCTCCAGAAAAGAATAAGCCGGAGTAACGTTAGTGGGACGCTGATAGGATCAGCGTATGGTCCCTGTAGGCCAGAGCTGAAGCCGGCCGGGATCGACACTGGTGATTCTCAAGTGAAACTGCCATGTGGGGGGAGTTGCTTCACCAGTGACACGAAAAGGTTCAGCCGCATCGGTTTTTGTCAATTCGTGTCCTAGAAATCGCCTGATATCCCGCAGAGGTTGCTGAATAGGTAACCGTTGCAGCTCCATCGGTTTATGATCTACAGCGATCGGCATTAACGACGGTCCCAGCCGTGGATCCTCCATTGTTGGTGAATTGGAATAAAAGGCAGCATCAATCCTCTAGTTACCTGGTTTCACTCAATCGATTCAACTCCAGAGATTTCCGTCTCCTACCTCAGTCCAATTACACAATGAAGTCGCTCACATTTGCGTCTCTGGCTGCTCTCGCGACCATCGCCGCAGCTCAAGTCCCAGGCTTTGACATCTCCGGCTGGCAAGAGTCAACTGATTTCGCAAAGGCCTACGCCGATGGAGACCGGTTCGTGTACATCAAAGCCACCGAGGGAACTACATTCAAGAGTTCCCTCTTCAGCCAACAGTATACTGGCGCCACCAAAGCTGGGCTAGTCCGCGGTGCATACCACTTCGCCCAGCCAGCTTCCTCCTCTGGCGCCGTCCAAGCCGAATACTTTGCCAAGAACGGAGGCGGCTGGTCCAAGGACGGCATCACCCTCCCAGGTGCCCTCGACATCGAATATAACCCCAGCGGCGACACCTGCTACGGCCTCTCACAGTCCGCCATGGTCAGCTGGGTCGAGGACTTCGTGACGGCCTACCACGCTGCAACTACCCGCTACCCTGTCATCTACACCACCCTCGACTGGTGGACCAAGTGCACCGGCAACAGTCCCAAATTTTCTGATCGGTGCCCTCTGTGGGTGGCGCGCTATGCCAGCGCCGTTGGCGAGATCCCCGCCGGTTGGAGCTTTCATACAATCTGGCAGTATAACTCGAAATATTCTCAGGGTGGCGACTCCAATACATTCAATGGGGATGAATCGCGTCTTACTGCTCTTGCTAACGGAGAATAACATTATCGAGGGTGAATATTTTCAATGAGAGTAAATAAGTCTATGTAGATGTAGAGTAAATTTCATCATCTGAGGTGTTTTTCCAACATCCTGGAAATCGTCCGCGTTCCAAATTTGCACGCAATGTTTAGTTCAACTTACCGGGTAATCAACCAAAGCCGTATATTAATGTCCGTACCCTAATCAGTACAAAGTAGGCGGACCAGTAAGAGTTCCCATTAAAGATATTTCCAGCTGAGATTCGGAAATGATAAAGTTTTCCCTCCGCGCAGTGCTAGAAGCTAGGAACGTGATTCGATATTTAGTGGTCTAGGGTAGTCCATCGGTGGAGGATGGATAATACCAGGCAGGATACCGTGACGGAGAGGACAGTCATCGATTACTGCCGATTTGTTTCTTCGGGTTTCCAGTGGGATGATTGGTCTAACAAAATACCTGGACTTATTTCTCGCCTTTGTTTGGTTGTTTGGATCACAATGCGCGGGATGAAGACAGAAATAGATCGTATCGTGTCAACACTGAAAGCGCGATATCCAATCGCAGAGCATAGAATAGTGGGGACAAAAGATTCATTGAAAACTGCCTTGCTTCATCAATTTTAACCCGGAAAAATCACCTCCTTTTATAGACAGATTTCCTCCGGTTAGCTAAGTATACCTACGGTTGATTCAAAGCTCTAGATCACTTTTCCTATCAAACCAAAGCGCCCCTATTATCCCTTTTCCGTTGAGGCTGGAAGGTGTTACGCTATGGAGGCTTCGGGTGATCTTCGGGTGGCACGTGACTAAGCTTGGTACGCTTTCTGGGTATGTACCCGAAGCGCGCCTTACCTAATTGGTCCGCGCTCCAGTAAACAGATCGTTAAGCCCCACCGAATAGGATTTCACGTGCAACTGACCCACATTAGGCCAAATGCAACCCTCGAATCTCGATCATGCGATCATTCAATCATGCCTACTGCATGTATGTCTGCCGGGTCCTAAATGCAAGCCATCAGATGTGATAATGCAGTGTAACACAGTAAGATGCAGACTGTGATGCAACACAGTAAACGCATACCGTGCTGGGGGTGTGAACCTAGCATGGATTGTGCGTTAAGTACCGTCCAGTACTCTCGAAGTCACTTTCAATCACACCCACCATGCCGTCTGAAGTATCTGCAACGCACCTGCATTAATACCAGGGATTAGCGTGATCACCACTCTATTGGTTGCCTTTGATTTCTCGGAGTCGAGAGAGGAGCCCGCTGCGTTAAAGTCTGGGATTCTCACAATCTCACCTCGAGATCTCACCGAGTTCACCGTGAGCTTACCGCGGTGAATGCCTTGGCCGAATAGCACTTCGGTTAATTCTCGGCTGAACAACCCACTTCCCTTGGCATTCGAAGTACTCGCGCCGGCCATTTCTCCGTGTCTATCCGAGTCTCCGAGAAATTGGTGCATGCAACACCATGCTCTATGAATTTATTAACAACAACGCTCAGATCAACCCCGCTGCGAGGCGACGCATCCGAAGCCATGCCGCCACGGGGAAGAACCTGGGGAAAACACTGGTGCGACGGTCAAGGAAGGACCTGCTCGGCCCAGCCCCAAGACCGGTTCAAGTGACCGTGCCTGAACGTATTCATCCGCCGCCCAAACCACACGATTCTCGAGCCCATCCACGACAACATGCGGCGACTACGTTTGACCGCCAGATAGGCGACGGAGTCTCTATATCTTCATTGCCTATCGATTTTCTCGGCGAATCTCGTGCACTAGTTCACAAAGGTATCCATGCGACTACGACGTGAGTAGCTTTCATGGGGACAAAAGCTGATAGCCTGCAGCTGTAACTTTCTTCTGCCGCATGCATTACACGCCGCAATTGTCCGACGCCTTCCAAGGACATAAGGGTCCTCCTACAATGTGGTTTCAGCTCGCATTCGAAGACGAAGCATGTATGGAGAGCTCCTACTCTCCCTCCCGCCCCATGGCATTGTCTCTGTACTAAGAACAGCTGCAGATTTTCACATCGTAATGGCCATATCGATCACCAGTTTGAACAACGTGATGGCGCAAGGAGAGGATCCGGCCCTTGCTTTGCAACACCAAGGCCGCACAGTATACTTGATCAACTCAAGACTGTCCCAAGCGAACCCGGTCTCCAATGCGAATCTAGCAGTGGTGGTCATGATTGCCCAATACGAACGTCTCCGCGGCCGGTTTCTCGAGAGTCTCGTACATCTAGATGGTCTCTACAGTATGGTGGAAATGCGAGGAGGAATCGCGACGCTTATCAGGGATGAGCCCTCCCTTGGTCAAAAGATCGCCAGGTGAGTAAACAAGGAACATTGGAGCAGCTCTTCAGAAGGAATGCTAATCGAGTACCCAGGCTTGACCTTGATCTAGCTCTCTACGTGGGCACAAGACCGCGTTTTGACGTCGCAATTATTACCAATGATAGCACCAGCATACCGTGGCTTTCCGAGCCCTTGATAGCAGATCACGAGCAGGAGTCTTGCGGATTTAGCGACTATCTTGGGCTAAGCATTCAGCTACAAAGCCTTGCTAAACAGATCACCTGCCTTGGCCGGCAAGTTAATGACGCACATGTTGGACTTCGAACAGCTCTACATACGCGATCATTTCATGTTACACTCCTTCGCCTCGGCCATCGACTAATTCACTTCGGGCCCCTGGGAGGGCCACGACCAACATCTGAGATTGATAATGCCGTCCAGCTGGGATTAATAGCATTCCTGGTGCCATTCATGCATCAGCTTGATGGAACAATGCCGCATTGTCCACTTCTTTCGCACCAAATCCATTTAGCCATGCAACGGGATTTCGCCACAGCGGAGCATACCCAAGAAGTGTTGCTTTGGATACTTCTAGTCAGTGGAGCCTCAGTGTTCTCACAACTGGAAGATGACTGGTTGGTATCTGCGGTCTCTAAGGCAACAAAGACTCTTGACCTATGTACTTGGGAAGAGCTGGCCTGCGTTATGGACAAATACCCTTGGATAGACGGGATATACAACAAACCGGCACGACTCCTATGTGGATTCTAGGGCCTTCTGGAATCTTGCTGTTGGCAAGAAAGAAATAAGTGTCGGTGCTTCCCCTGAGCTTACGATCTTAATTCTAGAGAAACCACTAGGTATCTACAAACTACCGAGGCAAACCAACTGCAAGTGCGCCTCTTGTGATGTTCAAACGCAGGTACCGATGGCTAGTTGGAGCATCCCTCTATACCTCGACTTTCAACACATTCTCGATCATTCCAGGGTCTGCGATCTCGAGCTCTGAGACAATAGCATTCCAAGTGTTACTTTCGGAGGCTTTACCTTCTGCATTTGTCATCCAGTCTGGCAATCTATCACTGAGGACGAAGATTTGTTAGAACACCAGGAAGAGATCCAGGCCTAGCTTTGAGGAAATAGACTTACTCTGCAATTTGGCAAGAGTCAAGATACCGACCATGGCTCTCTCTACCAGCGAACGCCGCATGTAGGAGCGTCCTACTGCCCTGCTCCGCGGTCCGCCCGTATGTTTCCACCCTTTTAGCCATCTCCCTTTGGAACTCGAGGGGTCCATTACGAGCCAAGTTTGTCATGCAGAGCCCGGGGGCGACCGTATTGATCACAACTCCGGTAGTCGAGACGGGGAAGCTCTGGGCCAGCTGACGCGCGCCCATGATGACAACGAGTTTCGTGAGCGAGTAGCTGCAGAGCATTAGCATGGACGGCAGTAGTCTCGAGCGGTGTCTTACGTTTGATGAGTATCAACAGGCACCTCGGCAAGTCCATTGGCATCCATCTTCGCAAGCGGATCGTCTTTGATCAAGTTCCACTCTTCCTCATTCTTGAACCCGTAACTACTCCCGACGAACACGATATGAGGGGACAGTATAGACTTCTCTGCGGTCTCCTTCAGCTTCGGAAGAAGAAGTAGGGCAAGAAGAAAGGGACTGAGGATGTTGACTGTGACCGTTGAGAGGTGGCCCTCGGCCATGATGCGCTTGAAGTCAAAGACGCCAGCATTCTCGATCAAAGCGTCTATGAGGCCCAACTCGTCGGCAGCCCTCTTCGCAAAGGCTTTAACTGACGCATAGCTCGCAAGGTCAATCGGCCAGACTTCAGCGGCAATATTTGCGTGGCCGAGCTCCGCTGCAATCTGGCTCTTGGCAGCCTTGCCGGAATCGGTGTTGCGCACAGCCATGATGACTTTGGAAGCGCCAGCCTCAAGGAGGTGCTTGGTTACCTCATACCCCAGGCCGGAATTTGCACCGGTCACAATGAATGTACGGTCAGTGCAGTTTTCCGCGTTGGCGTGAAGTGGAAGGTTGCGTGGCCGAGCGGACATTGTAAATGGCTGACGAAACCTTGTGGTGAAAGGTTGCGAATTCAAAACCCGAAATCGACTCATAGGAGTACAAGCAAGGAAGTGTCACTGGAGAGGCGCGTGTCAATTGTTCATCTCAAGGACGAGGCAGCGGGATATATACTGCTATCTCACACACTCATACCAATGAGAGAGGCGTCGGATCATAGCATCCCCCGAGTGACATCTCGAACCCGAGGGCATCAGCCGATCATGTGGATCTCACCTGTCCAAGGCCCAATATGAGAGCGGTTTCCAGATCGGGAGTCAGTGATGCTGTGAGGTACATGTTGATCCTGCGAAGTCCTCAGGGTGATAATGAAGACCCAGCTGGTGATCCCAAGTAGCCGTCCAATGAGAGAGCGACTTCCATTTTTGGACGCACTAAGAATCATCGTCCAGCGGCTAGAAATGGAGCAAAAGTTGTCATCATCAATGATCAACACTCTGTGGCTCCGCCTAGAAGGAGAGCCAATCAGAGAGTGGCTTCCCAAAGGGGTAATCAAACACACGTCGTCTCTATAAGAGAATGGGTAGCGAAGCCTTGAATCTCGGATTCCAAGTTCTTACACAACTCCTTCTCATTAGACAGCATTCAAACCTCCCGAGTACTCTCGGCAGCTATCATTTTTATTTCCCAGTCATAGTCCAAGATGACACCCCCACTTATCACTCTCGAAGAACACTGGTACAGTGACGCTGTCTTCAACTCATTCGACAGCCCAATGAAACGAAAGTTCGGGGATTGGCCAGGTCTGTTAGACAAACTATTCGATGCCAACGAGATACGCCTCAAGGACATGGATCAGGGCAATATCGCTTTGCAAGTCATCTCACACTGCCTTTCTGAGGACCCCTCGCTCAGTGTGTGCCAGGCGGGTAATGACCAGCTGTTGAAGGAGGTCAACAAATCAGCACAGACAAAAAAGCGATTCGCTGCATTCGCCATACTGCCCCTCGCAGAGCCCGAAGCCGCAGCGGTTGAATTGGAGCGGACCGTTACTGAGCTTGGTTTCGTCGGCGCTTTGGTCGACCACAAGACTCAGAAGGGTTTCTGTGACGGCTCGGAGTACGATGTGCTTTGGAGCAAAGCCCAAGAGCTTGACGTTCCCATCTACCTTCATCCGGCATGGCCCACGGAAGAGATGTTTCGAAATTCATACGTCGGCAACTATTCTCTTCAGTCTACGGGAGCCTTGGCCAGCTCCATGTGGGGTTGGCACAGCGAGGTTGGCCTGCATGTTCTTCGCCTCCATTGCGCGGGAGTTTTTGACAAGTTCCCGAGGCTCAAGGTCATTATTGGGCATTTCGGGGAGATGATGCCGTTCATGCTCCAGCGTATTCACAACAATGAGGCGAGGATGGGCGAACGAAAGCGCCCTTTTAAGCAGGTCTGGGATGAGAATATTTGGATTACTACATCCAGCGTTTGGAGCTTGGACCCGATGCGGTGCATTCTTGGAAACACCAAGATTGACCATATCTTGTACAGCGTTGACTACCCCTTTTCGTCGAACGAGGCTGGCCTCAAATGGTTCAAGGAGTTGGAGGATAGCGGTTTGTTGACCAAGGATCAGCTCGAGATGGTGGCGCACAAGAATGCGGAGAAATTGCTCAAGATTAGCCTATGATTGTATCTGCTACTCTTCTGGGAAGCTGGCAACGTTCTTCGTCGGTTAATGAAAGCCCCTTGATGCTTTTCTAGAATTCTTGGAAACCGTGCTGCGCCGCATAGATTGATTTGATGTCATGCAACAACAGCCCAAGGTGGCCTTGTTTCAAGTACCATCAGACCCAGTTACTGGAATAAGCACTAAAATGCAGTGACATTCGATGCGAGAACATAGTGACCAAAGAGAAATTTCCATTTATTGTGTTCGTGGCCATTCATAGGTGCCAAAGAATACTCGCGATGCTTCACCACCTTGGTTGAGTAAATGGCAGAGCCAAATCCCGCATATGATCCCAGCCTTCAAGAAAGAGTTGACGACCGTCGACACCATGAGCAAGTCATGGCAGCCTCTTCGGTGTAAGCGCTGATACCTACCTGATCCGTGCTGGCTGAGGGTCATGGGAGCAGGGGTAACCCCTCAACTTATCCGGGATCGGCGACAGAAGATGCTATATTTACGACATCGTACGTGAGAGCCAAGGGTATTCCTGCACGCGTTACGTAGTTTTCCCGGGATGTTGACGACTGTATATGAATGATCGGATGGATCATATCGCAGAGATGCAGCTTTCTCGTTCCCAACTAGTCTTGCGAATACTCCGAGCTTCAATCCATCCCTTTTCGTTTATATTCCGTCTGTCATCATCATGAGGGCCCTTTCTCTTGTAGTTGTAGGGGCTGGCTTGGCCGTGGCAGTTCCAGCACAGCCTCGAGGCGAAAATCTGCCTTCGATCCAGCTGGAGAACATTGTCAAGATGGACGTAACAAGCGAACCCAACGGGCTGGGGGCCCGTGAGATCTTTGGGCCGGCTCTAGGAGTCGACTTCCCGGATCCTGCCATCATCTGGGGCGATGGCTCGTGGAAGGCGTACGCTACGTCCTCTAATAACAAGAGAATCCCCGTCGCCACTTCGTCTGATGCCAAGTCATGGACCTTGACCTCGACCGATGCGCTCCCTAACCTACCGTCTTGGATTGACACGAGTGATGCTGGTCTCTGGGCTCCTGATGTAAATAAGAATGTAAGTGGACATGACACTGTGTATCAACAAGTAGATTGCTAAGCGGGATCTCATACAGGACGATGGAACCTATGTGATGTATTTCAGCGGAAAGAAGACTGGCGGCAGACGATGCATCGGAGCGGCCACCGCCAAGTCCTCAAGCGGCCCATTCACTGCAAGCGAGACGCCTCTCATTTGCGACGATGCGAATGGTGGTGTGATCGATGCTTCAGGATACGACGATGGCAAGGATCGCTGGATCGTCTGGAAGGTCGATGGGAATGCCCTCGGCGGAGCGACCACCTGCCAGGGCGGAACACCCTCAGGGGCTTACAAACCAACCCCCGTCAAGATTCAGAAGATGAATCGCGATGCCCTCACGCTGGTCGGCAGCGCGAAGACCATTCTCGACAACGAGGGCGCGAGCAACAACGGCGTTGTCGAGGCCCCGACCGTCCACAAGATCAGCGACGGGAGGTTCATTCTGTTCTATAGCGCCCACTGCTACTCCTCCGATGACTACGATATCGAGTATGCCTTTTCTAGCACCATTGACGGCACGTACGGCAACCGCGGGATCCTCATCCGAACTGTCGACAACAGGGGGATCTACGCTCCCGGCGGTATTGACGTTGATCCTAACGGCAAGAACGTCGTTTTCCACGGCCGTACTGCCCCATCGGGTCAGGGAGATAGCAAGCGTCAGATGTATAGCGCTACGTTGACCTTGAGTAGCAACTCGGCCTCGATTTAGATGATCCTGTCGAGGTTATTCTCGGTCTATGATGAACTGATAAACCTGTATAGTCTCGAAATCTCCGTGGCAATGAATTTTTGGGTATGGAAGTATTGTAAGACGAGATCTCATAACATTCGTGTAAATCATTCAAAAAAAAAAGTTGACTACCAATTCAATACTTGACTCACTAAATGGTGACTGTTCAGCTCTTCCCTAATTGTGATTCTTTAGCGATTTCCTCCACCCACTTCTCTGCCTCCTTTGCCAGGTCCGGTTCATACAGCCACCGGAGCTCTCCCCCCTTCCCCTGAGTGAGCGAGGTATCGCTCCAAATAGCGCTGGCGGGCAAACTGGCGCGCTGCGCCTCGGGTAGACGCTTGGCGTTCATCTGGTTCGTCAGCTCGAGCACCTTCTTGATGCGCTCCTGGCGGTAGGCTTGCCACCGCGCGGCTGCCCGCTCCAGGGGCACGTCGGGCGACAGTCTGGAAAGCACAGTCGCCAAGGATCGCACGTCCTCAAACGCCTGGTTTGCCCCCTGGCCGGCAGTGGGCGGGATGGCGTGCGCTGCGTCGCCGACCAGGATGATTCTCTTCGACTCGGAAAGCCAGCTGGGCAGGGGCGGGAGGCCGTAGAATGCCCAGAAGCCCATGCGGTCGACGGGCGTAACCTCGAGCGCGGACTGGACAACGTCCGGCCAGTCGGACTTGTTCTCCTGGAGCATGCCGTAGAGCTTCTGCTTATCCTGACGCAACTCGTCCCAGCCTGGGCCGTCGAGCTCGGGGAATACGCGCTGCGAGCCGATGAAGAGCTCGGATCCGTCGGGTTTCTGCGGGACGAGGAGGAATGCGCCGGGCTTGGCCCCGACGGAGGCCGGCAGGCTGTAGTTATCCGGGATTCGGAGCTGCGATCGCTGGACCACGCTGTTGATGCCCATGAAGCCGGCGTAGAGGGGCTTGATGTCGGGGAGAAAACTTGTGCGGACGGTCGAGTGAATACCATCGGCCCCAATGAGGAGGGGAGTGGAGACGGACTCGCCGTTGGCAAAGGTGAACTCGACCTTGTCTGGATTCTCGCTATTGATCGTGGTGACCTTGAGATTGTAGTGTATCGGGATGTTCCGCTCCCTTAGCATCGCCTTCAGCTCGTCGAGGAGCTCTTTGCGCATGATACGGATAGCTTTGTAGCCATACAGCTCCTTGGATCCGAAATAGTACTCGTCGGTGACTTTGTTTTCGCCATCTGTGAAAGTGAGGACGTCGAACTGCAGGGCTTTATCTCGAATGCGTGAGTAGGCTCCCACGCTGTCAAGCACGCGCAGGGCGTTTGGGGAGAGCACGACGCCTCCGCCTTGGTCGAAGTCTTCGGAGCGGGCTTCGTAAACCGTCGAGGGTATGTTTAGGTCGTGGAGTGCGAGGGCAAGAGTGAGGCCCTAAGTGAACAAATTAGCGAGACGTGTAATATGATGATACATGTTCAAGCTCATACGTACCGCAAGGCCTGCGCCAGCAATGGCGACTTGCTCCGGGGGGCTCGTGAGCACCATGATGCGACGTATTCAGACGGAGAGTGGGAATTGATCAAAGGAATGGTATAAGAAACAGAGAAAGGTGGAAAATACAATCAAGAGTGTTGTATGCCATGTTGCCCTGTTTTAATGATCGGCGGGGCTGCATGATGACGATGATGACGATGACGACGAGATGAGATAAATCGGCGGACAAGTTCAAGGTTTGGCGCTACTTCCAGGGGTTATCACTTCGGCAAGAACATCGAGCAAACCACAGTAGCGATCATCTACTGCGCTCCACTTGACAAACGGCAAGGGTCGAGTTTATTTCTTCCAGCGGATGTTGGACAATTCAACCGTACTCGATTAAATTGAACAAGAGGGAGCATTCTTATGTGACTGCCTGCCACAATAATTCTGCAGAGGTGGAATTGCACCTTCCGTTTCTGATCCACTTGCCTCCAATTATCGTACAGAAGGTGCCCCGTGCGTACTACTACAGCACACAACTTAGTGGCACCATGAAGATACTTGGAACATACAACAACAATTGATGCAAAACCATGAAGCCTTGATATTCCTCTTTCCAGAGTCAATAGTACGACCTCTCTTTCTGAAACAAGCAGGAAAAGCCTAATCACTTGACTAGATCAAACCAACATCATTGCCAAAATGGTCGACCAACCCACGCTCTCCATCGCCGAAGATTCTCTGCTGACGCCAGCCCGCTTCACCCACGATGATGACATCGAGCAAAGGCTTTATACCGCTGGAAAGGGGGCCCAAAAGAAGGGAAGAGTCGACCTTGCGATCTGCATTGGAATTGCGCTCGTGGGCACCTACCATACCCAAAATTCACCAGGGTACATAGGAGAAAGAAAATAAAGTTCAACAGCAATGAAAGCTGCCAGGGCCCGACAACTCAACTCAATGAATACAAACGAGCATACCTCATTAATAGATATGAACAAAATGAAAGCTTCTTGACCATAAAATTTCTATAAAACATGTGATCACTTGGCGCCTGTTCCTCACCGAGGGATGGTTCACGTCCGCACTGTTCCTCGGACCAACAACAATACATACTCGCCATGTCTGCAAAGATTATGCCAATGATACCTACAAGTCGTATGGTTGCAGCCACCATCAAAGATTATAAGCTCCAGACATCCGGGGCAGGTGTCGATTTAATCTTGTGATTGTAAGATGTCACGCAGAGCATCTTTATATATTTTCCCCTTGTTCATCACGTCATCTCTGTCAGTTTATACTCATGTGCTCTAGTGTTTCATAATCCTCTTCTCTTTTGTATTACACTCCCTTAATGCGACGCTTGATAAAGATGAGCGAGAGAATAATCTCTCCATGAGCTGTGCGTTTGTTCGCTCTAGAGAATAGCTCCTGTGTCGACCTCAATGCTCCTCCGATGGTTTGTGGGAAAAAAAAAGTCTACCGCCGCGTGGGCTTCAACTGTGGCCGGTGATGGAACAGACACAAAAAAGACAGAAATCGTAAACTCTGTGACCTCCATGTGTCGAGTTCAGGGGTGGGAATCAGCAACAGCACGGCAGGCTCGGGTTGGTCGTCATATGAATCAATGTGTGCGTCGAGGTTGAGATACGCAGAGATAGATAGAGAGTGTATCATATCACCTTACCGTTAGTGATTCAAAACGGAAAGACACCAGAGGTTCCCTATGAAGGCTAAGCTTCAATAACTATAGAGAAATTCGCATGTATTCATAATAGAGCAGCCGCGTATGATATTTAAACCAAGGAGTAGATACCTAGAAAGTAAATTCAGTTTGGTAGAAGAACCAGTACGCCAATGTATACCGATTTGCTTTATGACGGGCCTGATGAAGTTGATACTGAAGGCTGTGCTTCACTCAACTTGGTACCCAGAGTCTTGAAGCTTTCCGCACTCGGTTACCACAGGGAGAACCCCTTAGCATGTGTGCTACATGCTGCCTCTTCACATTGACCTCGTCTCGGTCGTTATCGGACAGTAGGGCGAGTATTCCTTTGGTGTTATGTACCTCCTCATGCTATTCGAGTTCGTTGTGGACCGACTTGCGGCCATAATCTGGGTTGCAAACCCTTCCAAATCTCCGGAGTAGGCTACTTATGTTGTGCATTGCTTCTTGGTTTTGTTTGCCTGGAGTTGCAGGCACTCATCAACTAGCTGATTGTTATCACAGAGCGAGGCGTTTGTCCCTGACTTATATCACAGCTCACTTTAGCCTTCCTTCAGAAAGCCTTCAGCTTTGTACTACTGAATCTCTGCCTAGCAGTTGTGAGCATAGATGACTGGGCTGGATATCTCGGAGTCTCTCTTCTTCCATCTCTTTTCCAATGCTCACCTGAAACAACTCCATCTACAAACTTACAGCGCAAATCCACCAGTATCCCAACTTTCTCCTAAGCCTGTAAGGATCACCCTTTTTAGATGTCGACTGTGTTTAACACCAACATGTGGACGGATCACTACCTCCGGCGGAACTTGAGCAGTGACACCACGCTGTGTTCCTCCACTGCGACCACTTTAGCTGATTACACCTTCGAAAACAGAACGATTGTAGTCCTCAACCAGGGCAACCGGGGACGAAGACGATTCAGCCGAGCTATTAGACGAGTCCGCCGCTTTCTGACGGGAAATCGGCACCGATAAGTCTTTCGCACACTCGCAGGCTCAAGTTCCGGACGATACTTGATAACTTCTATGCCACATAAAACCTAAAAGTCGTGACATCAGCTATTCCCGCAACACACACAGCTTTCTTTACTCCGTCATATCGGGATTCTTCTGGACGGATAATTGGGACTGCAGGAATAGTTCAGGATGCGATCGCCACCATTGTTGTTCAGCGGACCTTTCCCTCCGACCACACATACTCACTGATCTTTGATAGGCAAGCCTTTTGGATCTCCCGGACTAAGTGAGATTCTGTAGCATTTCTGTGATGTTATTTGATCCCAACATGACGCAAATTGAAGATTGTTGGACCGTTTAGCTTCACGGGCGTTAAGGGTTGCATATTGTGAAATCAAGTGGTATGAAAGGCTACTGGCATTATGAATTAGCTTCGTTTTACTCCACCTCAACAAGAACTTGAGATGACCGAAGGAAAACCTGCGTGACCAAACACCGGATTGGGCCCCTTTAATGCAACGGGTTCATCATGACACTCGTACCTCCTGTAGCTGAAACTATCTCAAGAACTGACCGCTCGCACTTGGTTCTGTCGTAGGCCCTTGTAGCTACTGCTCCGGTCGGAACTCGCCTAGCCTCGTACCATTTTTAGGCTATGCAGTCGTCCTCGGGGTCCATAGTCATATCGCAGTCTCGGGTGGGAGTTGTCTGGACTGTTGACGGGCGAGAGGCTAAAGGAGTCGACACTTGACCAAACCAATCTGTGTTCACAAGGGATCAGTAGATATTCAAATTAACACCTAGCCAGTACTTACTCATCACTCGAGCTAAACGCAGATAAAGCTTACTCGAAGATTTCCAAAATCACTGAAACATGGCGCCTCAATTTCAGAGTTGACTAAACATTAGAAAAGGCTCGACGTGCGCGAGGGGCCTGGTAGTAAGACATCGGCATAGCATGCTGGTGACGTGATCGGAGACTAAGCCAATAGAACATAATACCCCTCTGAATTTTTTTCTGGCCGTTGAATCCGATGATAGCCAGGAACGGAATCGTGATCACCTCGCTAAGGGAGCCGGCGTCTTACTGGTATTGAGTCAGGAACGAAAGCCTGCTGGAGTAGGCGCCTTGCGTATCTCGAGCGGGGAGTTGGGGCATTCGGGATTCGCCACCTATTCTTCTGTCGGATTCAGCTTAATGCAGACCTAACTCACTAGTCTCGGGAGAATCTGTGTGGTGACATGGGATTGTGGCAAGGGATAAGATAGTAGACCTCCGAAGCTGTGATTCGGTTGCCGATCAGAGTGCAGACACTGTGCAGTTGACGAGCCTGCAAATTATTTGACCAGACGTTAACTCTTCCTCATGTGAGTCCAGTTATGGTATGACGTAGGTTATTCGAGTACAGAAGAGGTAGGCGGTGAATGTGAGGAGCGGCAGGACGCAGTTCGAGTCCTGATGCCTGAGGCCCGCACCCTTTCAGCTTTCAGGTGCTATGTACAGCATCACTTGGATTCAATTTCGAACGGATTACCCTGAGCACATGAAATCGCAAATTCGCACTCTTTACGACAATTCCGACAAAGACATCCGACCGTTCGAATTTTCAGGCCCTTCGAAACAACAAGCACGATTCTTGACCTCGCGATCGAGCATGCATTATGCCAAAGCACGATCGAAAACTCTTGGATCACCAGCAATCACGCATGATTAGTCTGGTGCCGCATTGACCTTGAGCTTGTCCGAGAGCACAAGAGGGAGGTCCGCAAGCTCGACCGGCGAGACTCCTTTTCCGATATGGCTACGAGAACGCCTTGGCAGTTTCTCGGATTGATGCGAAAACGATAGGCCGAGCAGGGTAAAGTCCTTCTGCTCAAAGAATAGAGATGATTTTCTCGGATTTCTTAACGCGGCTCTATCTTGGATGAGAGAGTTTGAGTACAAAGCGAAAAAACAGCCGTGAAGATGCCAGAATGGACATCTAAACCCAATGAAGACGAAAGTGGCCCTATCTCAACTGCTGGATCGATCCCTTCTCCCATCGGTTCAGGTCAAATACGTCTTCCTGTACCCCGTCGGAAAAGGAGTCAAGGACGTGATTTGGTTGGATCAAATTCCCAATCAAGTGCCATGGATCCACGATTTGATCTGACCTAAGTCGGCCATCTTAGCATATCCATTGTTTCCTTTCGCTCGAACCACGGTATCTCAGGCCATTGATAGACACATACTGAAGTTTTCGAGGTGCCAACCAATACTCTGGCCATTTTGAGGCGCTTGTCTTGTAATAAGAGATCCACTTTTGGTGATTTGAAGCAAGGTGTAGGTGGGAGGGATCACTCCTCTCTCAATTCCTAACATGACTCTTATAAGAGCTGCCCAGCGGTTAGAGATTCACGCGTGCCCGAAGCTCAGCGCCAAAATTTCTGTGTGTCTTCTTTCTCCCAACTGCGCTAAAATATAGCAGTGAATAAACGAACCTCGTGCGGCTCTCCCATGTACGTTACGATAGGATACGCCTCGAAGTACCGTGTAACATAAGAGTCCGTTATGATCCCGCCCATTGGTAGAACTTTTACATCAGCACCCTTGAGCCGGTTGTGACGCAGATACGACAATTTCACTCTTTCTATCCACGTTGGGCCCGGTCTTTGCGGTAAGTGTGCGAATAGGGTCATCTTCTACTAAGGTGTAGTTCAGACGCTTGGATACGCATGTAGCTACATCCTCTACACGAATTTGGTCATTTACACGCTCCTCGACTTCGTATGGCTCTCCGTTAGGGATTTACAATCTGAGTACCAAATAATACTGAACGTTTCCATGTGTCAATGAGTATAGACGAACTAAAATAATTTGCCCCACGGAAGCCCCGGGTGTGGACATTCCCCTCGTGCTGATAATATTCAAGCTGATCTTGATATGTCCTAACTTTGCTTGAGACGGGTGATAATTTTTTGTTATGAATGAATCGTTGAAGATATCTACCACAATAACACATCGATCCTCCACAATAGGCCCATCATTGTAACTTCCATCTCCGCCCCTCAGAAGCCTTATCATCCGATTAATTGTCCCGTGTGCTGCTTCTTATTAGAGAAAGGCTTGCTTGTTTTATCTTTCCCTCAAAAAAGAGGCTACTAGACCCAGATTTCATGATGAAGAAACCGGCAGATCTACTTGAGCCGCCCACCCACCTTCAGTGTAGCTCGTCCGTTCGCTCCCTACCATACTAGCGGTGAAGGGCGAAACCAACACCAGCGCAGAGGAAGGCGCAAAAGATAGCCACGGAGGCATTGATGATTACCTGCTGCGTTCCAGTGAGCTCGGCCATTGTGAAACAAGGGCTAGCTTTGAAGATATGCAGGAGTTTGGATACGTTCGACACAAGGAAGAAAGGAGGAAAGAAACCTCAAAGATCGAGGGAGCATCCCATGACTTTATACCTCTATTGCCTGCTTTTAGAGATGACTCGGAGAAGACAACAACAATAACAAACGTCATAGATTCATTCATAAGGTTTGAAACCTTCAAGAGTTCCGAAGAAGAGTTGACTCAGAGAAGACAAAAACAATAGCAAACGTCATGGACACATTCACAAGGTTTAAAAGCTTCCAGGGTTCTCAAGAGGAAGCTTCCTTTTTGCGGTACTAGATGTGAAAGAAGCACTGTGATGACGAGGCAGCGAATATTTGATTTTAAGCCTCCGAACCCTCTTAGTCACCTAAAAGTTGAGTAAGATAAGTTAGTAACGCAATAATAAATCAAATGACACCTTTATTAAATTCCAACTTCTCAACTGTAATCCCGACGACTCGAGTGAAAGAGACTAACTTTCCCCAACCGAGTTCTCCTCAATAGCCATTTATATGGCCAAAATAAAACAGGGCACACCAAAGCCTCTATACAACCTCAGAATTCGGCACAATATCAAAACAACCAACCAGGTTATCAATACAATATTGCGCTAAATAATATACAATAATACATTATTTTACTGTTATTATTTGAGATACTACTTATAGCAAAATGAGGTCTCCAGCTTATACGAAAGGAGCTCTGATGTGTCAAGTTTTATTTCAACCACCTACCATGGAAGGATCTGCTTGTGAAGGCGGCGAAGCTTTTGGCCAGGGCCACCAGCCTTTCAAAGGTATGCCTTCATACACCACGTTGACGTTTCTTCTCTCTCGATACTGACTGTATGAATAGACTTGTTTTGAATTCCAGTCCCAAGCTTTCGCGAATAACATGTTGTCATGGGTCAACCAGTTGAGGTCGAAATTGATAAGAGTAGAAGAGCTCTTAGCGTACACCTCCAGTATGCCTCTCCATTCAATTTCGGTGTTCTCGTTCCCCTTCTCCTTGTACGCTCGTATATGTTTGCAGTGTGTACGTCCGAGACCTCTCTCTTTGAGCAGTTCCCGTCTATCGAGCAGAATGGAACCACGACCCGGCACAAAATTAGCCAATGAGCAGTAAAAACCATGTCGCATGAGACCCGGGATATTCTTAGCATTGACCTGTAAGACTGCGAACCAATCTCGCTCAGGGACGGTCTTGAACCACTCCCGTATCACCGATGTGGTCGTGGTTGGTGTTAAAGCAAAGATCAAGTTGGGTTCTGACCTAGTTGCCCAGTCTTCCGGGCAAGGGGGTTCTCTACCCAACGGGGAACCAAGCCGCCAGTCTTCTTCCGTAGCATCTGGCTGCCGCTCGAAATTTTTTCGTCAACTTCGTAACTCGGAGGGCGGTCTTCAGGAGGGTCTTGTTCCACCGCGGCCTCGACCTCGGAAGGGTCGGGTGGTTTGGGGGTCTCCCCTATTTTGGAAGGTTCAGGGGACATAATGGGTGTTGGTACTGTTCTCTGTTGACGTGTGGCGAGCCTGACAACTACTCTCCTGTGAAACGAACTCGCCGCTAATAGGCAAGGTAAGTGCAGCTTCCTTAGACAGAGCTAGCGAGTGGCCCAGCTGCTCTATATAGCCGAATTCTCTCGGGACTTTACGAAATTTGCTGCTCTTCATGAGTTTCTCCTAAACACAAGTTTTGGGGCAGAGCCACATACTTCCTCTTGTTTAGGTTTCAGGCAGCAGCAGGCAACAAGAACCCTAAAAAAAGTCCACGTGCTCATGTTGGAGCTTAAATGATTATGCTTGCGAGTGGAAAGTAAACTTAGGCCATTGAACAAGTCAGATTCCTGGACGCCAATTTAGCTGCGGAGATGCATAATGACTGCTGCTTCAAACCTACGCTTCAGGCAGGGCAGGTTTGAGCCTCAGCCAGCCATACACCATAATTCCCGTTGATTGTTTCTTTGCATTTGAGCCCCCGAACATTCTTACTTGAACATCTGCGGCTGTAGTTTGACACGAAATGCGGCTGCATTAGAAGGTAAAACGATCGATTGAATTAAAGCAAATGTGTGATGATTGAAGAGAAAGCTATCTGTTGAACCCGGCGCGGATGGTTCGCCCAAAGGTGCGATCGTTTATCGATCAATTGATAAGCGCCATGACGGTTTTCCTCGCAAGACTCAGATTGATCCCACCAAAACAAGGCCATTTAATCAATCATCTATACACATTATTTGGTACAGCGGGTTTTCTCAAAAGGAGGCGAGTCTCACAAAATGGGTGGTCGGACGATGACTAGGCTGCGACATCTGAAAGTTCGTAACCTGCGCCTTGTGATATCCATCGGATTCCACAATACCTTAGCTATGCCTTTGACCAAGTAATCCGGGCCATCTTACTACCATTGTAGTTTGTATCAGCCTATGCGTTGATTCTGTACAAAGAGCAGCTGTTTAATCAAAATTACCAACCAGGTGAGACCTTTGTCGCCGTATCTCATTGACTACAACAAACCTTTGATTCATGTACACTTCCCTCAATTTCGAGGTGTGATGGAATAGGGAACCGATAATTGGCCTTTGAAATCAAAAACATGTCAACAAAGCCCCTGGCAAGAATGCACAAGCCATCGTTTCGATTGACAAACTTTATATCGGCTCAAATGTTTGTCGGGGATGAGTCTTCTCCAGTTGAAGAAGAGCGCCCGAACCTTTCAAACGGCGGACCGCGGAATCCTGCACGAAAGGATTGATTTGAAGGTAGGAAATTCGAAGTTTCCAACCAAAAACGCGCTCGGAGTCCCGCCGCAATCTGCTGTCCTGTGAAAGAAAGTCACTCCTATGTCAGTACTAGACTGGATTGTCAATCGCGACTACCAAGGAACAATCGGACGTGAAGTCTCAAAAATGTTTGTTGGACGAACCTCCCGAATATCTTTTCTATCGCAGAGTATATACATTAAGATTATTCTTGACGAAGCAAAGGGTTTTGTGCCCTTGAGGTCTCTTGGCCTAAGCTTTGCGATATTTTCTAAGTTGTTAGTTGTTCAGTATGGATGCAAGTTAACTTGCTCCGACATTTAGAAAACAGGTATTAGTTTTGTTAGGATTGTGAAGTTGGTCAACAGGAGGTTGATCTTGACAAGCTCAAGCTTCTCAGAAACATCGTCCATAGTCTCTTTTATTCGTATGTTGTTCCCGCTATGTTAGCCCTTGCCAGGACAAAGATTTCTGATTCTCTGTGAGCTTATCTCCGTATTTAAACCCCTCGCTTTACCGAATAAATTTCAAATGTCCTAGATTATCATCTAAGAAGGCGAACAACATTCATTTTAACTAAAAATAACATCTCCAATCGTTTCCACATCCACACGGCACCTTTGCGAAGCCACTTCAATATGGAGACTCGCACAGATATTCGCCTACATACTCGTGGATGGGAAAGGGGAGGTGTCCCCAATGAATGGCGCCTCAAAGGAGGTATAAATGCGTTGGTGATGACTCTTAAAAAGAAGCACCGCTATGATTTATACAATGGCAAAGAGTCTCTCCAGGCGATCAACCACCAGCTGGAACCCGATCGTCTCCGGATCATATTGGGGGACAATCTATGTCAACAGGTAACAGTCCTGGTCGATTCGGTTCATCGTTCATGTGCGCAACTATCCACGATCTTCAAATACCCCGAAACTGCCGAACTAGTCCTCGTGGTCGAGGAGCAGATCCAGATGTGTCTCTCTGTACTCAGGGCAATCGCCAAAGTCATCGCTGGGTGAGTTCTTCTTCTCTTTCGGGCACGGATGCAAAGACAGGCTAACAGTGTTAAGTAAGTCCAGCGATGCGGAGGAAATTGTGTTCAATGTGACGCAGTGGGTGAACGACACCCAGCCCATCCGCGAATTCAATGACGTATACGCAGATAAGGCCACGGACAGGCTCCGACGGAAGATTACCCTTCGTAGCGACGCCATCGCATACCGGGGACCTGTCATTTTGGCCGCTCTTCTAAAAGTACTCGATGAGGTCGACCCAAGCACCAAGCATGAGCGCATGCTGGCTCGTATCGATCGGGAACGAGCCAGAATTTCGCCATCCGAGGACGATCGAGAGGCCAGGCAGGAAAGAATCGAAGAACTGGAACAGGAGAGAGCGCGCCGGCTCCAAGAGATACAAACTTATATAGCCGAGCTGCCGCCACGTGAGATAGTCTTTCTGGCATAAGGCTTGTTTCCGTTTGGGTGCGGGTAGAGGAGATTGACGAGGTTATCGCTAAGGCAGGCTAAGATTCGTGCCATGACCATCCGTGGTCTTTGTCGGTTAATCGGTCCGCGTTATTGATTGATTTGCTAAACGGAAACGGGTAAAGGCCAAGAATATTAGCTTGAGTTTCATCAAAACGGGGGCCGCATGGTTTTGCTTGCAGTGGTATCGTGGCCGGTTTGGCACCAAATTCCACAGACGTTAATGTTGGAGATGCGTGTGGCTATGAAGCGATGGTGCAGCGATCTTCCACGCAGGATGATACGATGCCAAGCTTCTTGACCGTCGACGGTGGCTTCATGATTTGTGGGTGGGCATCACATGGGTGGGTAGAAATGCCAAAGGGATGCTTGGATGGAATACTAGAGGAGAGAGTTCAATCTGGAAAATGCACGCTTTGCATTGTAACTTGTTTGGCCCCGTCCTTTACTTTAGGGTAGGTAGTTAGTTGGTGGATCGCTATGGCGCCGTACCTGCCTTGTGGCTTTAGGGGGTCGATCGCGCTTGCAGGGCTCGAACGAGGGCTACGGCTGGAACCTTCCCGATTGGCTGTCCCCCTGTCAGAGTATCAGATGCAGACATTCTCCATGCCCACATTTCACCAAGCATACCTCCTCCCTTCAACTACCCACACGACGCAAAGTGCGCCTTTGAACCGGAACTCCATTTGGAGCTCAAAAGAACTCTATTATTGTGAACGTCTTGATATTCCCACTGGTACTGATACGGGCCCCTCTCCCTACAGCTCCGCTTGTGCCCGTATCAGTACCAGTGGAAAATTACTCCTATCAACCCCTCGTCGGATCCTCCACGACCTCCTCAGCTGAAGGACTTGGTCATTGGGCTTGGTGAAGACTTTAGAAGGCGTGGACTTTTTCTTCGTAGTGCTCGTATCTGATACTAATATGATGATACAGACATCTACAACGAGTACGACGGCCGAATCATGCGACGCACAAAGCATGCCGTGGGAGGGCAGAGAGCGCGGGAATTCGCTGATTTCGTAATGAAGTGCAAGTTTCTACGACGGTTGCTTTGGCGGGAACTGCCGGCCCAAATATCGAGATTCAGGGAGATCAGAATCCAATTCGGCGAAAAGTCATGGGACAAGCGCGCCTTCTTGAGGAACAACTTACGATTGACATCGAAAAAGAAGTATTCGGCGCACTCAGGATCAACAGAAAAGCGAACCACCAAGCATTCAACACACTAATCAGCAAAATAAAACAACCCATCTACTCGACCATCCCACTTGTCATAAGTTCAGTGTGACCAAAGACATTTTGCTAAAGATCCTGGATATGCATTTGGTAATCAAGCATCAGAAGGACATCACGATCGTTGTGTGGTCATCACAACTTCCCTCTGTTGGGTTTAGCTAGACAAGAGGCCTCCGTGGCCGCAGGTCCTACACACAATTAACTTAGAATCTCCATCATCACGCAATTCATCTGCTTTTTCCATCAGATCAATCAATTCCATCTCTTCTTGTGACCGTGAGTTGTTACAATTCCATTCCCATCGATTGGAGTGCATAATAGATACATCTACCTTCGCCACTTTTGAATTGGACCGCACTGGCGTAAGGGGATACAATGGCGCGACAAGATGGCAATCAATGTATGGGAAGATACTGTCAGCGCAACTGCCAAGGTGTAAGCCGGCCATGACACCGATCCCACACAAAATGACCTCGTCCGATCTTGGTACCGGACTGCGAGACTCGTACGAACGTTTCTGACACTACCTGGCAGAGTAGTGGCGTGAAGGTGCCAGGGGGACGTTGGAGGTATTGCTTAATAGTAGGCTTATGTGGTCAAGGAGTGGAAAACTATTCAGCACAGTTTCATGTAGTGGGAGATTGTTCATGTCAGCTATGGGAACACTCTGACGAGGTACTTTGATTCTTCATGCTGCATCGTTAAATTGCCCCTCTAATTCATCTTTCTTCCAAACAACGTTGCTCTTAGTGCGCCCGAGATGGGGGAACATTCCGCATCTGGTTGAATGACCGTTCCAATATGGCTCTGTTGGCGTCCAGACCGACGTCCATGTAGTGCTCAAAGGTCCCCAGTTGAAACCACGACCACATGCCCGTCATATCCACGCCGCCGCCACAGTCTGGGATCACCATCCAGCAGCGGATGTGGGTTCCCACAACGGTGCACGCGTAGGCGCGCTTGTAGGTTGGGTTTGCACGGAGGAACTCCGTGCAGTGGCTCAGAGCTTGCTGCTCGAGGTAGGCGACCCGAGCCGCGGCAATATTGGTGGGCTTCTTGGCATCGACGAAACATAGGACCTCGAAGTCCATGTTGGTGGTGCACCGCTCGACAACCAAGTCACTGGGCTTTCGTGCTTGGGTGGATGGTGTCGGCCCAGGGACGACGGCGTAATCATTCCCCGGGAAAATGTATTTGGCCAGGAGCTGTGCGAAGAGCCGAATACTCTTGTCCTCCTTGTCTTGGGCGGTGTTGCCATTGGGATCGACGGGGGCTCTGGCTTCTTGGTAGTAATACTCCAGTTGTGGAGTACGGATCAGGCCGTGTGGCTTCCATGTAGACGAGTTCATGATGGTGCTGATTGTGTTAGTCGAGTGGATGGGTCGAAACTTGGAAGAAAATAGTGGCTGCGTGAAGTAGTGCAAAGGTGAACTTGGGGTGATGTTTTCTTTTTCGAAGTGCTGTTCCTACATGTACATTCCCTCCTTCGGGGACCATGGTACCCACTTTTCTACTCACAATATCCTTATGGGTATCAACAAAGAAATTATGAATTTCGGAATTTGAATAATAGAAGCGAAGTCACTTAATGTCATAATATCATGTTTCTATTATATACCCCCCGAGAAATTGGGTGATGGGAAGCTCTGCACGGTTGGGAAGTATCATACCCAACAATTTCATGATATGGGATATTTTCGATATCCTACGTACCTTAATATTATCTGCTCCTCAAATACAAGTCTTTATTGGATGCCTATTTTGGAATTTTACTATATGCCTAACGAAAGGCGAAGAACCAGTTACAGCCCCATTGAGAGAACAACTAGCCATACCTTGAGGGATAAGGTCCCCGGCCGAGTCGGAGGAGAGACTAGTCGGGTGGCTGCTCCCATATGGTCCATCCAGGAGTTCAGAAGTCGCAAGTGACGCTTGCTGTGCTGAAGCGGGCATGTTGACTTTTAGAGCACGTTAGTTTCGTAGTTATCAATGGTAGTCCTGTTGCTGTTCAAGTGAAGGGTGGCGTGAGTTATAAGTAAAGTACTGGCTAGATAGAGGTGCACGTAACTCGGGCTCAACCATCGGAAGAAGGCGGAAATGACCTCATTTCATCTAATGCGCAATTGAAACTTTGCAAGATCTACGGCCTGTTGTCTTCCTTAACCAAGCCCGTAGATACGAAAGTCGGCCGAGAGCTCATCCGTTGGCCGAGCCCGACTCCGAAGACAAGCACAATATAACGACCCACTATTGGTCGGTGAATTGGCTGTTCTCTTTGAGGCAAATGGGCGTTCTCGGTTTTAGCCAAGCGTTCGGTGCACAGTTTTGATGTATATAAAAGGAATAACCTGACAGTCTCGTGTAAGTTCATCGTCATGCAAACCGAGTCATTCATCAAACACCCAACATCTCACCCCTACACAAGCACAGTATCACTGTCCCTACAATCTCCATCTACCATGCCCCTCAAGATCATCATCGTTGGTGCGGGCATCGCCGGCCTGGCCTCAGCAGCCATGCTCCGAGCAGGCGCCGACGTCACCATCCTCGAGTCCGGGGATGCAAACCACGTTGCCGGCGGGCAGGGTCTTGGTTTCGGGCCCAACGCTGTCAAGATCGTAGAGAAGATTGGCTATGACAGCCAGCGCGTGAGAGCCGTCAAGAGTAAGGGGCTCAAAGCGTATGACGGCGCGACTGGAGCTCTGGTCAAGACCGTTCCGCTGGACACGCAGTCGACATGGGGCGCCGACTGGCTCATGCAGCTGCGCGCGGATGCAAGGGATGAGCTGCATCGCCTTGCGGTCCAGGACGGTCCGGGGAGAACGCCAGTGCTTCGTTACAAGACCAAGGTGACAGACATCGATCCTGATACTGGAATTGTCACGCTCGAGAATGGAGAGACTATCCAAGGGGATGTCATAATTGGTGAGTCGGTTCTTTTCTCTTTTTCTGTCGCCCAGCAGAGTTGACACCTCGATAGTGGCAGCCGGCATCCACACCAAGATCAAGGAAAAGATTGTGGGCAGCAGTGAATACGCCACAACACCCACCGGCCAGAGCATCTTCCGGTTCCTGGTGTCTTCAGAGAATGCCCGAAAGGCCTCTGGCCATCTTCCTGACTGGTGGAATCCCGAAGTCGGCGACTACCTTTCCATCACGCGGCTCGACGATGGTACCAACCGGGCTATTATTACATACCCAGGCCGTGACTTTCAATATGTCAACTTTAGCTGTGCCTTCCCGAACGAGTACCTCAGCCAACGGGCTACAGAGTCGTGGTTCGCTAACGGCGACATTAACGAGGTTTTGGACATTTTCAAGGACTTCCCCACGTCTTATCGAGAATTCATGAAGTAAGTCTTCCGAGCCACCCTCCGCCACTCATCCAAGTGTAACATCCAAAACTGACACCGATAGATACGCCGAGGAAGTCAAAGTGTGGGAGCTCCGAGACCATGACCCTCTCCCCAACTATGTTTCCGGCCGAGCTGTCTTGATAGGCGACGCGGCGCACGCCATGGCGCCCTTTCAAGGTCAAGGAGCCGGGCAGGCGATTGAGGATGCCGAGGGACTGAGGTTACTCCTCGAGCCAGGCGTGACACCGTCAGATGTCCCAAGTATCCTTCAGCAGTGGGAGGCGGTGCGGAAGCCCAGGGCGTCGCAGGTGCAACTCAACACTCGCGCGGCGAGCCAGAAGCTGGACGAGGTGAATTCCTTCCAGAATATGAATTACAACTGGACGTACAATGGCATCAGCGAGGAGCTCAAAAAGGCGTGAGGGGGGATCTTTATTCCTTAAGGTGTGGCTAGTTGTTCTCTCAAGGATTGCCTTAGCTGCCCATGCAGGTGACATTGAGACACTTAAACATTAAGCTATTTATTGTAGACAAATTGGAGTTATATAAGGAGGGAAAGGACGTCTGACAACATTAGTTAATGTCTCTTCTATTATATAAGTTTCAAGGTACCTAGCTAGCATCAGCGTATGCAATATCAATCTTTTGTTGGTCAGATTGTCGGTGCCTCAGGTATCATGTTAGACCGTACAGCTTAAGTAAAACCTGGAAAAGTCCCATCAGCTACATAGAAACGAACTTGTCGACAGATTCCAGCGCCAGGACAAAGCCATAACCTCCAAGATGCAATCCCTGGGATAAAGCCACTGGCTTATTATTGCACGCCTTGTAAGAACTGTCTTAGCCACCTAATCTGACCAGCCTTTTACTAACCATTCCCAGATGCCCGGTCTCACAGACTTCATCAAAGAAGTAGAGACGGACGGTGGTGAATCAACCACCAGCTTCAGAGATGCAAGTCCCTGGCGAGGCAGATTAAGGCCAATCGTGTCCTAGACACTGCCACCACCACCTCTTTTGGGAAGCGGATGCCCACGAGAGAGATAGCAGATCAGCTCGTCGAGGCCTACTTGAGGACGTTTGAGACCGTGTACCGCACTCTTCATTTTCCCACCTTCCGCGCCGAGTACGAAAGGTGCTGGACTGGAGCAGCCGACAGCTCCTTCGTCATACTTCTACAGCTTTGTGTGGCTATCGGCGCCGCCTTTGAAGACAATACTTTCCCTCTCCGCTCGTCCGAGGCAAACCTCTGGCTCACAGTAGCCAGTAAGATTGGCATCACGGGCATCCAGATCCTCTGCCTGTTGCACCACGCAAACAATATCACCAATGTGAACTCCGATCTGGGCTGGATCGGTGCTGCAACCCTCCTCCATACAGCGACGCATATTGGCCTCCATAAAGATCCAAAGTCCTTCCCCGGAATGACGGTACCTCCTGCCTCACCTTCAGAAGGTATCCATCCCTAAGTGTACCTATTTATAGTGATAAGCTACCTACCTAGCGACGGGCCCGTGCCTGCCTGCCTAGAGAGAGTTGTGCCCGCCAAACGTGCCTTCCATCCATTCATTGTGTTCAGATGAAAAGTCTTCTGGCATCTTCCATTGCTTTTTTTTTACTTTGTACTCAAGCTCTTTCATACATCCTTACCCTCAGAACAAGGTAACTCTTCTTGGGGCGCCCAAGCCGCACCGGCCCTAGTGGTCTTGGTACGGTGGGAGCATGGGTACAGAAAGAGACCAAGAGCCAGAACCCGACCAGAACGTTACGATTCGAAGACAAGGACATATTCTTCCATTAGGTGTCTCACTTCTCCTGTCACCAACTTGCCACCCAGGCTCTGGCCAGAGCTTCTTGCTAATGGGAAATGAGACACTTAATGGAAGAGTTAACGCACCGGAACGTTACGATTCGAAGAAAAGGACATCTCATAAACCTCGGAATGAGAGCAGACCGTCGACATGACAATTGGTTGGTGAGAGTTTCTTCCCTGCTGCGACCATGTAAGCCTTACTAACCGTTGAGAAGTCGTGCACCACCAAGATGGACTTTGAAGTCCTGTGTTTCGTCGATGCAAAGAAGTCCACCGATGTCGCCACGTGTGGGAATTTGCATCCGATGCTGGATGGTAGCGCCAAGTTATGGCAGCCTGGAAAGGACGGCCTTGTGGTCGTGGTTACAACGGAACCACCGCAAGCACAAGAGATCAAAGGCCCCCAAGCAGAAGGTTTAGTCCACTCCTGATGAGTTAGTTACTAATCCGCGAATCTGATTCTTTTATGTTGATACTAACCTCCATCTCAGTGCCAAGAAGCCCACCATCCAATCCAGCTCAGAAGCCACCAACGGGAAGCGCTCATGCGAAGACGAGGGAGCCTCTATCAGACGATGATATTTACCAGACATTTCAAGCGCCTGGGCGTCGGGCTGGATGCCAACACAACACTGTTGCATTCCTAAGGATGAGGTCGATGCCAATGCTACACGCGCCCAAGAATATCCTCACCAAAATTGAGGCATTGCCATCGAGTCCATCATAGGCACACGCCCTGGAAAGTGAACCCTTTTGCAACAATATATTCGGGCAACAGCCCCATTATATAGACTATTCATGACGTTCCATACACTTGAACTTATTTATTTGTTGCCGGTATTTCGGAAATGAATAGTGTTTTTCAATTGATGCTCTGAAAACACTAACAATAATAATATTATACGAGCGTAACCCTGCTAAGCTCTCTAACAACTATACCGCAGCAAATTCGTGAATTGGTGTATTTTTATAGAGATAGAGTTATATAATCTTGCTAAATACCAAAATGAACAAATGGAATCCAATTATCCTCGCCCTCCAAAGCTACGTCCTCATCCGGGACGATATCTCTTCCATCAGCCAGGGCTCTGTTGGAAGCTCTATCCCTCCCCATGTGTCGCAACTGATTTGCAGCCTGGTGAAGACTTCGGGCGACGGACTCATCTGTGATGCCTCCGCTCTGCAGGTTCCGATACGTAGCGGTAGCCATCGTCAGGCTAGCGGTATCGTTTACCTTCCAGAGCGTGCCGATGACGTGGCGGAACCCGGCCAGCTGATACGCGCTGATAAGGTGGATGCTTTCGTCGCGGAACTTGGCCATGGTAATCTGACCTGTTGAACACGCGGAGAGATAGGCGAGGAAAGGGGATCTCCGGTGTAGATCCAAATCCATCACATCACCTACCGTCATGGGATCGTTCTCCCAATCTTCAAGTAGAAGAGCACTCTTTAACGGGTTTAAATTCTCTTCGCCCCCATGGCCTGCGAAATGGAAGAGCTGGCTTGTCTGAAGGTGTTCGAGGACAATTTGCTTTTGAGCATGGCTGTTTTGGAGTAGAGTGCAGTCAAGCCCTATGTCGCGGAGAAGACGATCAGCGGTGACCATCTCCTCCGCTACGCCAGATAAAAGTGACTGCTTAGGTGTCTGTGTCATGCCAACCAGGAGCGCCTTTCCCCTGCCTGCCACCAAAGTATGCGGACCAACGGGCGCGCGACGAGCGTTCAAGATGGCCTTGATGGAAAGGCTATAAGATGACACGACCCAGTCCATCACGTTTTCTGTCGAGCCTGGAGAATGAAAGCCAGCGGCGTGGAGGGGAAATCCACTGAAGACGCCAATGGGGATCCACCAAATTCGGGGTTGGACCTCTTGTGGCCGTGCTGTATACCCAAGAGCTTCCAAGATTGGTTTGATAAGCTCAAGCCAGAGCCATTGCAGGAACTCAGGACTTTGCATATCGTGCTTGTTGTGCTCAAGCTCGTCTGGCGTAAGCCAAGGGAACTGCATCACATCAATGCTTTCGTTTTTCACGAGAATGGCACGGGTGCTCCCATACTCGCTTGCGCTGAGCACCACAATGGGACCGCTATTGGCTGCCTCACGTATATCCTCCTCGCTGAGTGGTTGACAGAAACCACCAAATCCCTCTAAATCTCTGATCTTCTGGAGCAGCTTATCAAATTTCTCATTCGCCAACGACGCTGATGGTGGGCTGGCTTGCTGGAGCTCTTCCCGTGCCTCTGCAAACTGCTGGGCGAGATCGGGATGAGCCGCATCAAGTGCCAAGATATCCACTCGCAGGTTGGCTATAGACGCAGCAAGCGAACCTCGAGCACTCTCAACGAGAGAGAGCGCTGCATATCCACCCTTTCCCGCTTCGATGGCAAGAGCAACAGCCTCGGCACCGAACCCCACGATGTCATCGGCACTCAGGATGCGCTGCTTGTCAGAAATCTGGATCGCGCGGGGTGAGAGTTTGGGTATAAGAGCGACGGTAGCGATCGCTGCTTCGTAAGCCGCTGACCACAGGGATGCGTCACAACAGATACGAACAATCTGTCGGCCAGCTTGTATGCGGCGAAACAGAGACGTGTATCTATTATTATTGAGCGCTGTCCAGAGATGACCCAGCGCAACCGTGGGATCACGCTCCTCAACTCTTGTTCCTAGGCATCGGGCATAATGACAGTGCCCTAGGAGGTTGTTGAGGTGGGGGCGAATTGGGTGATCATCGGGCATGCCACTGAGAGTCGAGTCCGCAATCGTGATAGCTTCATCAATTTGTCTGAGCAATAATTCCTCATCAATATTCCCTTGGCCGTTTCGTATCATGTCATATCTCTGAAGGATACGCAATGTAAGGTTCACACCGTTTTCCATTAAGCGACTGGGATCGTGCGAAAACAAGTGCCGCACGCTTCGAGATAATCGGATAGCCTCCTCCAGGTCATCCATGCTGTTGCGGTCAAGGGCTCGTCGACCAAGCACCTCCGCTAGAGACGACTGAGCTAAAGCCCCAGACAGTTGATGTTGCACGTTTCCCGATAGGAGAACAGCTGATTGGGCATAATCGTAAGCCCGATCCAGATAGTCACTCGCCTCCTCACTTTGCTCGTACCTTCGGTGTAGACTGTCAGCGGCATTGATAAGGAGTTCAACTTGAGCCTCCAAGCATTCTTCGACTGGTTCAAGCACAAGGCCAACCAATGCCTCTCTGATACTGACGCAACGATCCAGGGCGTCCAAGGCCCCGGTAATTTGAAAATATTCATCAAGCCTGGTAGCCAATGTATTCAACGCATTCAGCACCGAGGCGGGACGGTGCACCACCATCACGCCTCCCGCCGGGGTGTTCAGAGTTCTCTGGGCTTGAGGGGATGACGACACTGCTCTATCGATCTCACTGAGAGCGTTGATGAGGTGCTCGCGTTCACCACTTTGCGTGTATTGATGTCCCAAAATGGTTGAGAGTTTAGTTCTGCGAGAAAGGCATAGAAGCTCGTCCGTCTCAGCGTCGCATTCATCGACGAGAATTACAGCAAGCTGATGAAGGAGGTTCATCTTTACTTCTGACTCGGCAAAGGCAAAATTGTGGTGTATAGCATACTCTAAAAAGGCGTCTCTGAATCCCCATCCGCCGTTGCCTTCCATTAGAGAAATCTCATCTAACAGGGCGTAACGGTTCGCTGTGCGCTCAATAGAGTCCGCAGATCCGTCTCCAAGCCTTTCTGCCACATCTTCATCAAAGTCAAAATCCTCATTAGCCTCCATCTTGACGGATGAGGTAGATGAGGTGAGTGGTTGGTTTGGTGCTGTTTTGTTTGCAATGGAGGGCAATGCTGTAGATTTTCTGCCTCGCAATCCTTTGGAAATCCGTTCTTCTTATACTTATTCCCGTACAGCCTAGCAACGGTAGGAGAATATGCAAAAAGAACGTGCAGTAAAAATGGAGGCTAATGGGTAGAGGTCAGAGTTGTATTATCAAGTAACCAGGGCAAATCATAACAAACCAAGCATGTGAAGTCAGCACCCGAAAGCTACGAAGAGAATCAATCGAATGCGATTGGCAAAGTCAGCTCACCAGGTCACACGGACCCAGGGAATGTGCAATAGACGCCCTCGTACTCGTGCACCACAGCTATCAAAAGCGAGCGGAACGTGAGGTCACTGGTCCTTGGCTCGCGTGAGATGACGTATAATGAACGGTCGTGTGGGAGTAGAGCGGGGTTACTTTCATGCAGTAATCGCTTCCTCGAGAGGCTGGACGTAATCCTTTCGTGAGACTCTTTTAGCCCAGAATCGTCAGACCCAACGGTTTCTGCACTTTGTGCAACCTTCACCGCGCGCCCCATTTATAGCTGCATCCCAGTTGTACAGATGGCAAACTATGAGTGGTTCATTCAAAGGACAGCTATCAGTCATGCGTGTTCAATGTAGTAATTTCCACCTGTTGCAGGAAGAAAATGCAGATGTCCAGGTGCTGCTTGACATTCCCTTCATGGGGTGGGCAGGCTCCCAGAGTCAGGCTTGTGTTCAACATACGCGAAGGCACGTTGAAGTTGGGAAAGACTGAGCCGGTTGCCCGGGGGAGGTAGGATCTGATATACCGGGTGTTGTCGCCGTAGAAAGAGATTCACTTTCACGATTTGGGCGGTCTTTAGGCTGCAGTTTGATTAGTACGGGTTGAAAGATGGGTTATCCATGCAGGGAAGCTCACCTTGCACCGAAACATCCAGATGTCAGCCTTTTGCTTCATAGAGAACCCACCATTCCATTAGACATGAGTTAGATGGAGACTTCGGATGCCCGTGTCGTCACAGAGAGGCACAGTAACTCTTTGCAGAAGTCATCTGCCAGGTAGGCTCTACCAAATGATCAAGACGGACTTGTGTTCTTTAAACAGATCTGTTAGTCCAGCTGCTTGGTGCCGCTGCTAGCGCTATTTACCCAGCTTGAACAACAAGTGATGATGAGTGGGACGTCAACCAACAAGAGGAGGAGGGTAGGTAATAACGGTAGCGATAGCGGCGACAGCGTTCTCCACGGCGTCCCCGGCTCGATTTGAGCAGTAATGCGAAACCCAATCCTTTCTTTGAGTCATCGTTGACTCACACGGTCTCATACGGATTCCTCAACCACTCCACCCACCAAAGCGACCGCAAGATGCGTCTCGCTCAGAAACGGCGGTCTTATCAGCAGGTGTTCGAAAGCTAGCTGGGTGTGAGTGGTAGGGGCATGTCGTGAACACATGAGGTCGAGGAGAGTGAGGCAGCTTCTCAGCGCGTTGGCGAATGGCTCGAGGTCGAGGCGGTCTGCCGTGTGAGGCCTAGCCAGTCCTTTCGATAACATCTTGCAGCAGACGAATGAATCTGGAGCTTTGTGCCTAGTGAATACCAGTACTCCTTAGTGCCTCGGCGGTGGTTTTAACAACTTTGGTGACGGCGGTGATCAAAAGGAGAACGCTCTTGCTTCCCAGAAAGAAAGGATTTAAGATCCACGGCCTCGGTAAGGTATATCTTCATTTTTTTTCCCTTGTGATAAAACGGTTTCCTGAGACAACAGGTATAACAGGCGAGTTTCCCAAAAGGCTGAGATCTCTTCCTTATCAAACTGCTGGGGCTGTAGAACTGCCATACCAAAGTCGCCCTTATGCGGATCTATTCCAAAGCTTTGTGGAGAAATGCAAAATCCGTCAACAGCTTGTGAACCGCACGTCTGGGTGACGACTTTTGGAGATGGAAGAAGATAGAGAGGGGGAACAACGAGCTAGTTGATGAGAATCTCATAGAACCAATTTGGATCCCGGATGACGAAGGAATCGAGTATCTTGTCAAAGCTAGGCTTTCTTGCATATGGTAATCCATTTTAGACTGGAAATTTGGCATACTGCTTCGAAGCGAGACTTGACGGCGGTACGATATGGGCAGAGTAATATTCATTGTGTTGAGATGTCGGGTCTGGCAATTTTCATTACTATTTTTTATATACTCGAACTCTCATAGGGATAAAGGATGTCGTTTCGCCTTCTCCTCCTGAATAGACGTGAGTAGTACATTTCGCTCCTCCTGTACCGTGGTAACACTGTGCTTTGTGATTGTGGCATTCGCTTTGAAAAATCCGATGTCATGCACCTAGTTTCGTATTAGCTCATAATGCTCTCAAGACGGGCGATAGCTGCGAAGCTCAGATGGAAGCACCTTTGCAGTCCCTGTTATTCTGACGCCCACTTCTAGCTCGCGCTTCCTCCGCTTTGTTCCAGATTTCCGTTTTCTACTAGACCTGTGCTCATTCCGAGGGGTATAAGATGTCCTTTTCTTCGAATCGTAACATTCTGGTCGGGTTCTGGCTCTTGGTCTCTTTCTCTGCATATCCGCCTTCAGAGTTTCTGGGTTTTGGTGATCTGTTCTAGTGTCAGAGGGCAAGGAGACGCTCTCAAGCGAAGCTGAGATAGAAAAATACCTTTGCAGTCCCTGTTATTCTGACACCCACTTGCCTCGTGTCACAGGCCCAACTGGTGGTTTTCTCCGCTTTGTTCCAGGCTTCCGTTTTCTACTCGGCCTGTTCTCATTCCGGAGAATGCGTACAGAAAGAGGCCCAGAACCCGACCAGAATGAGATGTCTTTTTCTTCGAATCGTAACGTTCTGGTCGGGTTCTGGCTCTTGGCCTCTTTCTGTAGGCATTCTCCTTTGGTGTTTCTGAGTTTGGGTGATCTGTTCCAGTGCGCACTGGAACAGATCACCCATAGACAAGACGAGCGATCGCTGCGTAGCTGACCTAGCTGTCTGCTGCTGCGACGAGCGATAGCTGCGAAGCTGACCAGCCTGTCTGCCGTCATATGGGGGGGGCGGCGTTTTGCATGATGATAAAATCGGTGAATGTTCTCATGAAGGGCTGAGCCTGATGGAGAGTAAGAAGAGTTTCGTAGGTCGAGGGCGAGGGCGAGGGGTGGGGTGGCTCTGTAACGGTTGTTGCCCAGATGGTTTGCTCGCTCCCCCGAACCTGCCTTTGATTTCGTGTACCGCACCTCGGTCAAAAAGTGGAGGAAGGGTGGAGAATCAGTGGAGCACACCTCGAGTGAGCTTCTAAGGCAACCACCCCTCGACCAATTTGTCGCCTTTTGGGAAGGAAGGATTGGAGGTTGTGTAAAGAGGTGTTAATTTGTGTCAAGCGGTGTCAATTTCTGTCCACTGTCTTCTCATAGCTATCGAAGGTGCTCGTTCAAAAAGACATCGATAGAGAAATCCAATGTTCGCTTTGTGTTGAGGTCGGTACTGCATCATGCCTCAGAGGCGACCCGTTTTCACCGGCACCAAAGATCACCACATTGCAGAAGTCAACTCTGGTGGATCCAATATTAATATTACTTCGCCAGTTACACCATGCTTCGTTTATTGCAGTGTCTTCTCAAAGATATCTTACTTCTACATTTCTGTTGGCTGGCCCATCGTCGCCTAGTGTCGTCTTAAGCCTGTCCAGCCCTTGACCCTGTGACAGCTCGGTACGTAGAGGTAGCTCCGAGAGGATCCCACATACAATTGACTTCAATGTGCGTGAGTGAGCAGTGCAAAAACGCGAGAACTGTACATAATTTCGGGTGCCAGCACCCAATCGAATCTTCTCAATTTCTAGTAATACATACATTCCTACAGTATAAACGACGTCAGTGGGCACCGGCCGAGTTGGAGTTATCGGCGCAGCTCCAGGCTGACGATCCTCCACTAGCCTGGTAGGACTCAATAATCGCCATGACTGACCCGTACGTTCCGCCAACCATGAGGAAGGTACCGACAACGATCATGAAGACGCTCCAGACGACCATGAGAGTCCACTTGGTGGACCTGTTGTTCTTCCCGGCGGACCAGTTGTCGTAGAGCCACATGCACCCGTACGGTTGGAAGCACATCAGTGTGCCGAGGAGAGCGCCGATCAAGGATACCAGGTTGCCGAAGATAGGGATCGCACTGGCGATGATGTACGCGATGAGGGTCACGCCTCCGGTGCAGGCGAGCCAAGTGCCCCAGTGAACAAGGCTGTTAGAGTTGAGGTGGGGTGTGCCTCGAAGAAGTCGGAGGAAAAGATACTTGGCGGGGACCTATAATTCAGGTGTGGTTAGCCAAACGAGTTGTGATTGAGGTGGTGACTTGCTAAGTAGGACCAAAGCTTACATGAGTGACGATCATGGTGGTGACGATGAGACCGGGAAGCGCTAGGCCGTAGCAGACCTTCTTCATAATGGCGCCCGCAGATCCCAGAGCAGGAGAGGCGACATACGAGCCGCAGTAATAATAAACTACAACTCCGATGGTGATGTATGTAACAGTCACAATCGTCTGGCAAGTAAGGAGAGATCGTGTGTAGTGTTTTGGCTCTCGCATCTCGGCTGCGATGGAGAAGAAGGCAGGTGTGCCGGCAAACGCAAAGATGTGGGAAGAGACGGCGGAGATGCCGTCGACAAAGTTGGGCGAGCCGATGATTTTGTAGTTCGACTTCCATGGACCTTCAGGGGCGGCGGCGGGCCGATCTTGAACACCGACGGCAATGGTAACGCAGAAGACTGGTTGAGAGATGTCAGCCACCGCACATTGAAAGAACATTTTGGTGCCGGATTGCGAACTTACTTGCAGTCAGAATGCAAAACAACCCAACCCAGGCGAGCCAGCCAATTTTCCCTAGAGTACGAATACTGGAGAAAACAAAGCCAAGAACAGCGGCGACGGCAACGAAGACAGCCGTACAGACAGCGTGGCTTGATACTGAATTGAGGCCAATA